CTGCTGCCATCATCTGTATTAGAGGGAAAAAATGGTAGAGGTGGCCAATGATTGGCTACGGGTGGCCATGGCCACCGCTGGCCCCCCCATCTAGCTCCGCCCTGTCCCCAAAGCATCATGCTGCTGCCACTATGCTTAAGTGTGATTGAGCATTGGTTTCTCACCATGCGTAAATTATTTAAAGCCCAGGTGTTTGGAATGCGGGCTGCTCAGTGATGTAGTGGGTAGCACTGCTGCCTTGAAGGAAGAAGATTCTGCGTTCGATTCCCGGCCTCTTTCTGCATGGAGTTTTCATGTTCTCCCTGAGCATGCATGGGTTCTCTCTGGGTACTTCCTCCTACAGTCCAATTGGCTTCTCTAAATTCTCCTTAGGTGTGAGTGTGTGCATGGTGGATTGTCTCCGTGTTGATTAATAGAGGCTATTTGCTAATAAGGTGATTTTATTTTAGTTATCAGAGAAAAAAGGGATAGATGAACAAATATATATCACTTTTCCAATTTCTTTATCCGTAAAATATTTTTAAAAACATTGTGATCTTTCTTTTACTTCACTGTATTTTTTTTTTGTCATATAAAATCCAGATTATTTAATTGCAGATTGTGGTTGTGACAAGAGAAACTCTGAACTGCAAAGCTTCGCCAACTTTCTTGCCTTTTAGGACACCAAACCTGCTGCACCTGCTGCTAAAATATCTTAGAGCTCCCCTGTTTCACACTTTAGAAAAATGCTGGTTTTACTTTTCTCTGTTTCACATGGACTTCCTGGGGATGGATTTCAGTTCTACTATGCAGCTGGCTTTGGCTGATGTTCGAAGCTCACTTTTAAAAATAGGTCTAATGTAAGTTATATTAAATGCAAAGATGCCAGTTTCCTAATTTTGTTAAGTTTTATCTATTCAGGGCAAAAGCAACTAAATCCAGTATAGATGCATGTGAAGATGATTGTATAAATATCTCACTCTATACTTAAGTTTACACCCAAAGTGAAGTATGAAACATCTTTCTGTCTGAAGGTTGATTCTCTTTGTGAGGAAGAATAATTTGCTTCAAAGGAATCAGGAAAAATTATGAGAAAAACAGTAATTCTTTAATTCACAAAAATATAAATTATTTTAGTTGATAGTTATCAGTTTCTAATCGCCCCCTTGTGGTGACCAGCGGTACTGGACTGTAGTTTAGCTTTGCAATGATCATTACATGTCAGCAGAACAAACCAACACATGTATACTTCAGTATATGCAAATATAAGGGCTGCTGCAGATCATTTGCTGTGCAATTAAAAGAATAGGAGTTATTAAAACATTAAGTCTGTTTTTATCTGGTTCTGGTGAAGAATCTCAGTGCTCCAGGTCATAGTCATTCCAAAAAAAAGCTTTTTCAATTCAAAATGTCAACAATAGCGTTTAGTTCAAGGCTTTATAGGGTGGACCAAAAACAAAGCCTTGTTTTGGCTCTTTCCGTTTTTTAATGAGAAGAAGCATGGTGCAAAAAAGCATTGATATGGAAGTTCAGAGTATTAATATATATGGTGCAAATACGCAGTATTTTAGTTTGGTGTTATCAGCATGACGCAGACTCATGTGAAAAAGCTAAATTATGTGGCATTATTTAGAGTTTTCTCAGCAGACCAGCATTCTGATAGCAGTGGGGAAGAAGCTGTTACAGAATCTTCTGGACCTGCATTGGGTGGGCTCTCCTCATCCTCCCCAGGAAGTAAATGCGCTTCTGTGCCCTTTTGACCAGTGAGGTGGTGTTTACATTCCAGGTGAGGGTGTCTGTGATGTTCACCCCCAGGAATTTGGTGCTGCTGACCACCTCTACATCTAAGCTGTTGATAATCAGTGGAGCGTGGTTAGGACGGATCTACCTGATGTCCAGGATGATCTCCTTCTTCTTCTCCACGTTCAGCATCAGGCTGTTATCTTTGCACCAGTCAACCAGCTGCTCCACCTCCTCTCTGTGGTCCAGGTCGTTGAAGTCTCTGATGAGCTCCACCACCGTGGCGTCGTCTGCAAACTTAACCATGTGATTGGTGATGAACCTGGGGAAGCAGTCATGTGTCATCAGGGTGAACAGCAGGGGGCTCAGGACGCAGCCCTGAGGGGAGCCTGTGCTTAGACTGATGACAGAGATGTTCTAACCGACCCGGACGGTTCCTTTCTTTGGATTTTAAAACATTGTGCTGAAAGACTGAAGAATGTTTTCATGAATAAAAAATGCCCTATCAATACAGACATGAAATGTTGGACTATTTTTAAAACCTTTTTTATTTTATCAGAGAAAATGTTCCAACAGCCTTAGAACAGGCTGCTCCAGGTCTGAAGTAAACATTAGACTCCTCCTTATACCTGAAATCAATTCAGTTAAAATAATCCCTGACTGAACTGTTCACACCTAACCTGACTCCGCCAGATCTGGAAACCTTCCGTTGAAGTAATTTTGTTAAGGGGCGAAAATACTGGTTAGCTGATTGGCCTATGTTGGTTATGTTGGTGATAGACGGGCCAAATAAACCAATCAGATCAACGAAGCATATGACGTACTAACAGAGCGACGACGAAGAGGAGCCAATTGATAGATCAAACTCTTGCCGAAACCAGTCGGGAGAAGAGCAAAAACATCTTTTCCTCTGAGAAAAGCCTCCAGAGCAGTGTTTTGCTCTTCTTTCAGTGAAGAAATACTCTGTAATTCTGATCAAACTTGCTCGATAGCCACGCTAACGCTAGTTTCATCGGCTGAAGCCGCCATGTTCTTTAGACTGAACTGTCGCGCTTCTCGTTGCGTCACACCTCAACCCGCCTCAAACCCAACACTGATTGGACGTTTGTTTGGTGAACGGCTCCAAATTTTCTTTAACGGAGAGTCTCCAGACTGATCTGCGAGTGAAACCTTGAAAGCTCGCGAGATCAGGATGGTCTCATGAAGCTAGTTCACACCTGCACATTTTTAACATTTGGTGTTTATTCAGTTTATTTACCAAAATCAAATGATCCATCTACAACCAGAGTAAAACACAAGAAGTCACGGCTATTTAGAGAAACCAGTAGATTCTACAGTCATAGTTCTGGACTGTTGAAGAACCTGGAGATGATAAGCAGTTTAGTTAGAAAGAAAAAAAAATTTAATTCAGAAAGTTTTCATAATGAAAAAGGATTTGAAAGGAACTTCTTTTTCTTAAATATTTGCTAAAATAATTAGGTTTTTCAGGCTTCTTTTTTCTCTCTTTTTTTGAAAAGATCTAATATTTTTACATTTATTTTTTTCTCCCTGGCTGAATGTTATGAATTGTATTCTTTTCAATGTTTTACAGATCCCATTCTCTTCACTTCACTTCAAGCCCACTAAAAATGTTCCATCTTTGCTCAATCCAACACTCAATCTGAAAAATGTAGTGGGATAATTTATAACCTGTAAAAAAAATAAACAAATCTAAAAAAACAGCAAAGTTGCTTTCAAAACCTTGTTTAAAAAGTTTTGCTCAATGTTTCATTTCTAAATTTTTTTATTCTTTTTAAATTTAGGTAATTTCCTTTTACAACACATGCTCTCTGCTTGCAAAAAAAACAGGATCACATCCTGATAATCGGTGCTATTGTTTCATTTTAGGTATGATCAAATATTAAATCATGTTTTACGTTTAGTCTTAAATAATAAATGTAAATCCTCTCAAACAGTCTTTATGAGTGCAGAAAGGCTCTGCATACTAGGATGTCAAGCCGTGAAACGAGGACCTCTAGTGGTGAAGAGTAGAATAGCACCTTTAAAGCACAGGGATCAGTGGTTGGTTAAACTGGAAAACGGATTAAAACCGATTTTCTTCACATATTAGACACAGGGAGCATCAAAGAAATCGTGAAGTGCTAAAAAAAAACAAAACAAAAAAAACCTCCCCGCCAACAGCATTGAAGGCAGGATAAATAAATCAAGCGCTTTGAAAACAAGGTATATAACTTTGTCAAACAGTTTCTTTTTATTTATAGGTGTTTATGTCTGTATGGGGTTTACTAAAAAAACAGCAATGTATATATCTCAGTATGCTTATATGCTAGTTACATAGGGAGTGCATTTTATTCCATTATTATTTTGTAAATGAACATTTGTAGGAGTGTTGGTCCAGTGACTAGAGCAGTGCGCTAAGAATGTTGCAAGAACCCGGTTCGATGGCCACAGCGTCCACTCTGGGTTCCTGAGCAAAGACCCTTAACCCCACACTGCTCCCCGGGCGGCGCACAATGGCAGCCCACTGCTCCCTGAGGGGATGGGTAAAATGCAGAGAGTGAATTTCGTTGCTCTGTGCTTGTGACAGTGGAATAACAATAAACAAAGCTGGAAAACATTTGGAAGAAAAATATGCCACTTTTTTTTTTTTTTAGATTTCGTTTTCAAAGAGTTGTTTCTAACTTTATATTTTTTTATTTTTCTCTTTTTAAGATAGTTTTACTTATCACAATCTTTTAAAACTGAGTTTCATTCAAACCCAATAAAAATGCTGTGCTTGACGCACACATTGATCCAACACAGTGCTGTTGCAACTGTCTAGGCAGACCAGGAGAAACGTCTTTATGCTCCTCCCTTAGGAGGAAAGGTCTCCTCTCTTTAGTGAGAATGTAATTCCTAAAATTTAATCTGAAAAAAGGAAAATACAAAAACTAAAACATCCATTTTCCATCACGCCTATCCCAAGCGGGGTTGCGAGGGGTGCTGGTGCCTCTCTCCAGCTGTCTACGGGTGAGAGGCGGGGCAACAGAGAGACAAACAACCATTCACACACATTTAGAGAATTTAGAGAAGCCAATTAACCCAACAGTCATGTTTTTGGACCGCAGGAGGAAGCCAGAGTACCCTGAGAGAACCCACACATGCTCAGGGAGAACATGTGTGAGTTCCATGCTGAACTCCACGGTGAATCGAACCCGAAACCTTCTTGCTGCAAGGAATATTTTGGAAAATACAAAAACCTAATGAAAGCGTTCGGGTGGAGTAACTGTAGGTCCATCAGCCCCCACCAACTTTCATCACAAAGTTACCCCCTTGCTCTGCGCGGAGCAAACCAGGTACTTGCAACCCTCTCACAAATGCACTGCTCTAACCACTAGGCCATTACTGCCCTCACTTAGTGGAAAAATAAAGGTTGTCACCATGTGGATCAGAGCTGGCAAAGCTTCTTGTCAAAAAGGAGAGCTTAGATATCCGTCGGAATCTCCTAAATCCTGGAAGATCAGCGATCTGCTAAAAATCCGACTCCCTCTTCCTCCGTAAAGGTCTGAGAGTTCAGCCTCAGTCTGCCCTCTAAACTTCACATTTCTATTTCAGAGCAGTTACTGGAGAACTTCTTATGTACAGTGAACTGATTTTAAGATGAGATTGAAGGTGTTTCACGATGAAAAACGTACAGAAAAAACCCACAAATTCAGCATCGGTTAGAATCAGAATGGCAGGTTTTTTTAAAGACTGGAGAAACTTTAAAGCTGGTAGAGAAATCCTCCAAACGATGAGCTGCTTTGACTGCAGTGAAAGAAATGTGTCGTTATTCAAAGGGGGGTTAGTTCAACTGTCTGCAGATGGAATGAAATGAAAAAGAAAAACTTGGAAGGCTGATCTGTTTCAAGCAGACAGTCCACAGATGACGACTTTATCCAGGAAACAGCTTCTGTTAAAGGAAATTAAATCCCAGAACGGGTGGATTATTGGGATGTCAGAGCGATGGAGGTCTCACTACAAACAGGTTTGATACAGCCGTTTCTTAAAGTGTGTTTATGATGGATTGATTCAGTCGATTCATGGAAAAAAGAAAAAAGAAAAAAAGAGACAAATCCATAAAAGCAAACACAGCAGGCTGAAACATTTGGGAAGTCCTTCAGGTTTGCGCCAAACATCACTCATGATTCACTCTGTCCAGCGCTACGTAGTATTTTTTCTTGTCGTCCAAACAGTGCCACCCAATCGGTCCGATCTCACAATCGGCGCAGATGAGGTACTTGATTCGTCCCACGTCTTTTGTGAAGCCCACGTTCTCAAAGCCAAACATGTCGTCCACTAACCAGTGGGCGGTCAGAGTGTCGCCGTCCTCCGAGCCGTCCGCGTTGCTGAGGCCGCTCTTCTTCCGCATGGACGGCAGGAACAGCTGAGGGGACAGAGGACACAAAAAGAGACGCCTAAAAATATGAAACACAAAGAGGACCGGGGCGTTTTCCTGCATTTATATCTGATCCAAAAGGAAGGACGCTGGAAAAGCCTTCAGGACGTCTGAGGTCCTGATCCTGCAGGGCAAAGGTCAAACTCCACATATCTTTTTGCTCTTAATAAGTTAGTTGGTTAACTAAAAGTTAAAGAAACAAACGAAAATCTTGACTAAATCAGGGCTGCACCCTCTATTATTTTAGTAATCATTTAATTTATCAATTTTCCCAATTAATTGAAAAACAGATGATTTTAATTATGGCTGGAACAATTAATCAGATTAATGGATTATTGAAATAATCCTTAACTAGTTCAGTAATCGATTAATCATTAACTGGAGTGTAGAGACTCTAAAACATGCCTTAAGCTGACAGAGCGACCCACTTAGAGCAGTAATTATACCAAGATTAATTGAAAAAATGATAGACAGATTAATTGATTTGCAAAATAATCGTTAGTTGCAGCCCTGCGTTTGGTGATTTAACATTTCTAAACAAAGCTCTTTAGATATGCCTAAAATGTTCAATCATATTGTTAAAACTGATTGAGGTCATTTTGATAGGACACACAGAGTGTTGTTCCCCCAGTGGGGCACAGTGCTGGACGATTTTTTGCCCTTTTCAGGCCGATTCTCCAGTCCTGCGCGAATTTTTTGATCGGATCGAGTTTCAGCCTGATCCTGCGTCCTGTAGTACACAGGGAGTAATGAGGGGCAATCAGCCTCTCATGACTACTTCCTGATCAGGAATCGAAAGGTCTGGAGAAAATCAAACATGTTTGAAATTCAGTCAGCCATCGTGATGTTGCATTAGAGCGTCGGGCCGTGCTGTGCGAGAACATACATTGTGAGCTGTGAACCTTTAAAACCTGCGATTTCATTGTACTGTTTGAGCTGTAGCTGCGTGCAACGATCGAAAAATTTTAAAAATAAAAATATCGCACAGTGTCTGCCCGGCTTAATTTAGCAGTGCACCGGAAAACAAGTAGAAATATTTTTCTAAACAGTCAATTTGATGTTTTTAAGATTTCAGAAATTAAGGGGATTATTTATGCCTTCATACAATTTTGCTTTATGCTGGCATATCTTTTCTCATAACTTTGACAATATATTCTAGTAACATGGAAAATCAGTTTAGTAACTGTTAAAAATATCAGTGCAGATTTTTTTCGATCAGTTTTGGATTTGCAGGTGTATTCAGTTTGCTTAGTAGGGCTAAAAAAAAAAAAAATCATCAATCCTTCCTCCCAGCAGCTGGAGGGCTTTATAACCATCACTGTTCCCAACAACCTCAATAAGTTGTTATATTCATGCCGATTTTGCTCAGTTTCTATCTTAGTCAGTTAAATAACCTGCTGCTGTCATTTTGCACATCTCTGATGTTGCTGCTATTTTCAAATATCCATTACTATAAAAATATCCATAGCTGGATATTGGTTATTTATTCTCCAGTTGCACAGTTTTTATATTGGTAAAACATCTTACAGTATTTTATTGTTTATTATTTAACTCTTCAATATTATGTTATTCTAATACATTTTTCCACATTTGTGTGACCATTTCTTTCTATAATCTTTTTGCTGCTGTAAATTTCCCCATTGTGGGACAATAAGGTAATTTTCTATTTGCGTTATTTAACTATTATTTGCTTAGTAGAATCTGAAATACATGATTCACGTTTTTTTTTTTTTTTTTTTGTAATAAATAAATCTGAAGTCTTTTAATCGTTTCTCATCTTTATATTCTCGTTTTTCTGCTACCCAAGCATGAAGAAGTGTTTTTTTCTCCATTAGAGATGATATTAAAGCTGCAGCTCTGTGCCATCAGGTCCTTTTTGTTTCCAGTATTGTTGTTGTTGTTGTTTTTCTTGCTGTGACTGAATGAACCGGATCATACCTGGTTGTGTGTGAACACAGCCATCCCAGGACAGAGCACCTTGGAGCCGCAGCGCTGACACAGAACAGCCTTCAGGTTCTTCCCGTCCTCAGACACCAGCTCGGACCGCTCTGGGCTTCCTTTGGACTCCTGCTGGTTCTCCATGTCCTGTCAGGCAGAGTTTGCGGTGAAGACAGCGCCTCTTTAATGGGGGAAACAAAGGGCAGCTAGCATCAGCCGTTTGATCCAATAAAACCCAAAATGTTCCAGCAGTTTGGACCCCGGAAGTAGAAAACGTCAGAACTTTGTAGGACGGAAGTGTTTAACCGAATATTAATTTACATTGTCAATTCTACAATCCCAGGTATATGAAAGCTAAAGCAGAACAAAAGCAGATAAAAAATAACTGCCTCTAATATTTAAGCAAAAATCTATAAAACCACAGCCAACCCTAACCAACTGCGACAAGACAAAATACTTAATATCCTCCTCTTTGACACAAGTGTTTCACATTTATATTAAGCCATTTTAGACCTACCTTAATTACGAATCATAAAAAGATATGGCATTACAATTTGATCTTTAAACAGCTAAATTGGCCATTTGAATGCTAGCTGATCTGACGGTGCAACGCTTAAATGATTCCGCAGGGAAACAACTTCTTCTTTTCTATCATGGCGGATCGCAAGCAACTTTAAGGTGCATACCGCCACCTACTGTTCATGAGTGTGTAGCAACATTGTTTTACATCTTTTAAATTCTATTTTTTAATTTTATATTCTGAAGATAAATAAATAATGCTTTCCTTAATCTATAAATATCCTTTATATTTCATTTATTTCCCAATAATCCTTTAAGACTCCATTCTTGGCCTGTCCTTTCAACTACTCTTCTCAATTTCGCCCTTTCAGGTTCATATGTTTTACAGTTCATCAATACGTGTTCTACATTTTCTATCTCTCCACATCCTTCACATTTATCATTATTTTTCCTCCCTATTAAATATAAATTGTCATTTAAATAAGTATGACCTACTCTTAATCTGATCATTATTATTTCTTCCCTTCGGTTTCTCTCATTAATATTTCTGTTTAATAGTAACTTTTGTACTTTAAATAATCTTCTTCCTTTTTCATCTTCATTCCACCTTTTTTGCCATTTTTTAATTTCTTCCCTCTTAATAAATGATTTTCCTTCCCCCTTGTAAATGTTATTGCCTCCTCTAAAGCTCTTTTTGCTAATTTGTCTGCCTTTTCATTTCCTTTCACCCCTTCATGTGCTGGTACCCAACAAAACCAAATATCAATGCCACTCCTGTATAATCTAAATAGACTGTGCTGAATTTCTAATACTAAATCTTTCCTATTATTTCCTTCTCCCTGGATACTTTCTTAAATTGCTTTGGAATCCGTGCAGACCACCACCCTGTCTGGTCTGACCTCCTCAACCCATTGGAAACTCAGTATAACTGCCACCATCTCTGCTGTGAAAACAGATAGTTGATCTGAAATTCTTTTAGAAATGTGTATTTTGAACTCTGGTACATATATTCCTATTCCCAAATACCCTTTTTAAATTCTTAGAACCATCAGAATATATTTTAAGGTAATTATAATATGAGTTTCTTAAATATATATCAGTCTGTATCCCTATTTCGTTTAAATTCCAAGCATTTTTCATTTTAATAAGTCTTGTGTCTACATTTATCTCAGGAAATAGCTATGAAGGAATAACACTAATTGGATTAAACTGTGCTATTTCCTTATCCTCTAATCCAAACTCTTTAATCAATTTGCTTATAACCCATCCAAATCCATTATTATTGAACTTTGAATATTCCCAACAAGTTTGTAGAATTGTTGAAGTTACATTTTCATCCATACTACTTTTAATTTTCATCCAATATACTTAACCTAATTTCATTCTTCTCATTTCCAGTGGAGTTTCTCCAGTCTCGACTAAAAGAGCGTTGATAGGTGTTGTTTTCACTGCTCCTGTACATATACGTAAAGCTCTACTCTAATCTATCTATCCTTTGTAATGTTGTTTTAGCTGCTGCTCCATAAAAGGGAAACAACTAATCAGTATTCTTCTTTTATTAGTTTAATGGCAGATTGCAACACACTACATCCATATATGAATATATAAATACACACATATACATACATACTTATACCCATATCTATATATACATCTATATATTTTTTTCTATCTATCTATCCATCCATCCATCCATCCATCCATCCATCCATCCATCCATCCATCCATCCATCCATCCATCCATCCATCCATCCATCCATCCATCCACCCACCCACCCACCCACCCACCCACCCACACACACACACACACACACACACACACACACACACACACACACACACACACACACACACACTCTCTCTAAATATTTAAAATATTATTGTATAACCTTATATTCTAAAGATACTTTATAACAGCTTTCTGTATTTTCTTCTATCTTGTGTTGTTCCTGTTAATCCTTCCAGATTCCACTCCCTTCCTATTAAACCCTTTGGTTCAGAGGTTTTCAACAGGGGGTAAGCGGCCCCTAGGAGGTCCACGGACATATTGAATGGGGGTCGCGTAAGTTTTGGTTGATTAGACTTTTATTTACTTATTTTTTTTTTTTTCCCTGCAGTTTTTTCCACTAATTGAAATGTCTTTAAATCCACATTAACCTGAATTCAACGCACTGTAGTAAACAGATCAATGGAGGCAGAAGATGTCTTTCAGTCATCAATGCACACATTCAGCAACATACAGGAGCTCTTTCAGGTTGGGCACCGTTTCATTCACAACACCTGTCCCATCAAGCAGGAATCAGAATCAGAAATACTTTAATAATTCCAGGGAGAAATGACTTTGGTTACATAACTTCATCTGTAATAGAGTGACTATAGGACCAGTTAGATATATCACAATTTTATATAATATATATATCCCCGCTCCATCTCGCCATCAGTTTGGGGGTCCTTGGTCTGGAAAACTTTGAAGACCCCTGGTTTAGTTCATTGAAAAGAAATGACCTCAATTTCATATAAATTAATATTTACAAAAGGAAAACTGCAACTGATTTTTTAAATTAGATTCAAAGGTATCTGTATGAAACATTGTATAGTTTCCGCTGAACTTTCATAACATTTTGGGCTTACAAACAGAAAAACACTAAAACCTAACGAACTGACTCCACATTTCAAGTCTAATGTTAACAAATGTTTTAAACTTGAGTGCATTTGATATCTTCGCAGCGATAGCACATGTTTGTATTTCTTTCTAGATAAAACACGTTGTACATCGCCTAATAACTGTGCAAAAGATCCAGAGTAAACAAAACATTGGAGAAATTGATATAATAAATAAAAAAATGCTAAAATGCATTTAAATTAACTCCTAAAAAACATTTATATTTACCCCAGTTTAGAAAGCTTTATATGGATAAATGAAATGGGGAAGAAAGTGGCTGGTTGGTCTGTAGTGCTTATAGACCATTGCTTATATATTTTTACCCCTTGCAGTTTTTTTTATGTCCACCTTTTTTATTCTTTCAATTTTAATTTCAATCTGAATTAAGCCATTATGTCTGATTTAAAGGTGATTTTCACAGTTTACTTACAAGAACAAACCTTTTTTTCAAATAACAGTAAAAACTAAACTGGAAGGTCGGATCTGTGACAGAATGATTGATGTGACGCAAAGTGCCGCTTTACAGCAGCTGGTCTGGAGACATTTTTTTTTTATCATAATCTGTTAATTTAAACAAAATTTAAAAGTAAAATAAAATCAGGTGTTTATGCATTCATTTTATACATTGAATTTCTAAATAAAACAGTACATTCTTTTCTCCATTAAAATCCAATGTGTGTTTTTTTAAGTAGAGAACAACAATCATTCAGTTTTGTATATAGACAATTTCCTGATTCACATATTTCATAAAACACCTGAACTGACTCTTTACTAGATGCTGAATATATCAATGTTTGTGTGTCTAAATGTAGAGCAAGAACAAAAACACAGCATTACCTTACATGTGGAAAAGAATTTATTAAATAATTTTCCAATATTACCATTAATAAATATTTAGATTTACATTTCAAAGAAATGTATGATTTATCACTTTCTACACAGAACATTACACAAAGTCAGGGATACTCATGTTTAGTAATAAAGCCTGGATAAGATCATCTAGAAAAAGGAATCTTTAACAGCATTGTGTACAACCTATGAATGGAACCGCAACTTTATTAATGATTTGATTGTGTACATGGCGAGAAAACGAGAAAACCCCACATCCTGGATGCTCCTTTGACTTTTGAGATGGGCCGTTTCTTTTAAAAACATTTCCGTTGGCCTAAGGCACAGGAATACGCAAAGTTTCTATCGATCATCCAGAAAGAATTATTAAACCTCAGTTTGAACGCTTTACTGCCTTGAATTTAATCCGCTAAATTAAGGTGCGCTAAATAAATACCCTTGACGTCTGAAATCAAGCAGAAAACAAAAGATCTCCAGCTGGCTGGGATGGTTTGATGGCTGATTCTGATCCGTACGTTGGTCTCAGCTCAGGAGTTTCTTCCTAATTGATCGGCGATGGCATGTTGGCTTCAACCCCATCCGACCTTAATTAGCTTCGCTCATCGTTTTGCTTTCTTTTCTTACACAGCAGCTTCTCTGTTGCATTGAACAGTTACTAAATAATCGGGTTTGGATGTTTGTCAAACATCCAGAACTTTCTGTTTTAGATTAATTTTAGCAAAGATTTGATCAGAAATAATGAATTGATCGGATTCTTAAATAAAACCTGTGCACATTAATCGTCTCGACTCGGAATAGACTTATCTGGAGTGCATACAAGAAACAATATAAAAACACTGGAGTTTTCTACTGAGTGGGAATTTAGGGGTTTAACTGTTTTTTTTTTCATTTATTGCTGAGAAGCCAAACATGGTTGATTTCAATACATCTGGTGACAACCATCCAGGTTTGTACTCCTTACAGGATGGCATCTGTTCCCTCCAGTCTCCACGCCGCTGCAGACCCTCCAACCGTCCTCCACAGGTGAAGGGGAACGACTTGCACTTTGTGCCGTCTCCTCTAGCATGAATAACATCACCCTCTGAACCCTTTTTGTGCAACTGTAACAGACCATGGCGAGGTTCAGGGTAACAGAGAGTGTTTATGAAGAGGTTATCTATCAGACTTGGAAAAAAATCCCACTTTAACCCTAGTTCAAAACACTATCTTTAACACTTATCTGATGGTTGTCAGAGTAAAAACTTAATTTCTGTTCCCTCCACAGAACATTGGCTAGTAAGTGCTACTTTACTGGAGCAAAAAGAGCCAAAGCAGAAAGACCACTAAAACCCAAAGAAGTAAGCAACCCAGAAGGACAGAAGGAGCAAGAAGAGACTATACTGATGTCCAGCAGCATTTTGCATGTGTGTGTGTGTGTTTATGTGGGTGTGGCTTTAAAGTAAAGTGAGTCACAGTCGGGGCTTTCAGAGCAGAGAGTCATCTGTGCATCCTCCTTCGAGGCCGTAGCGGAACTCCTGCAGGTTGGAGACGCCGTAGAAATGAATGAAGGCCGCTGCCACGACCAGAACGTGGAAAATCTGATGGGAGTGGAACTACGGAGAGAGGAAAGGAAATCTGTCAGTACAACAAGGACGATAAAAACAGATGGCCATTTCTCCCTATGTGTACTTGTGCGTTCGTGAAACGTCATCAGCCTCAGCCCTACTACTGTTCCAAAAACAAGACCAAGAACTGACAAAGTCCCCGGATATTGTTCTCGCCCCTCTCTCTTTACCCAGCATGCATCATCAGATCAGACTTGTCCGTTCTTGAGATTGACAGCTGTCCAAGCATGCACTGCGGCAGCAGCAGCTTCCAGGTTAGCGCCCTCAAAGCTCAGAGTATTAAGTTAAAAGTTCTCTTTTCTGTTGCTGTTGTTCAATAAAAAGTACATTTTAAGATAATTTAAGGCTAGAATATTATACTTTTAAGCGTCACTATATGGCCCATTTACTGCGTAATAAATAAAAAAAAAGTTCTGATGTTGAGAGGACCGCGGCAACCAGTGGACCACTGAGGCTAACAGCAGCCAGCGCTAACGTTAGCCTGTCTGCAGCAGTGCTCTCTCTGCATAGCCGTGTGTGCAGGACCGCTGGCTCTGATGGCGAGTCTTTTGTTTTATTTGGCAAAATGTTCATTTGATTTGTGTTTATCTGACTGTGTTCATTATTATTTCCCCAATAAATGAAAAAAAGGAAGAATTTATTATTATCTCGAGGCTAATAATAACAGGAGTTGAAATGCAGCTCCAGATGAGCTGAGCGTGTGGTGATGTCATCAGTACGCTTCTGTTCCAGTTGACCCATATTCATGCTGCGTGCTCCCGTTCTCCTAGAGTCCACACTTTCCTGTTTTTCTCAAGAACATATTTGGTGAGGACAAGAGCCCGTACTTGCATTCTTGCGAATTGAGAAAGGGACAGATGTTTTTTTTTCCCTTTAGAGAGAATGTCCATTCCATTCCACTGCAGAACAGCTGGGATATGCAAACGTCTGCAGTCTTTCTGAAACTCTGTGTACTTAGCACACAGCAAAACCAGGAAGACGGTTTTAGTAATAATGACCAAATCAACACAAAATGATCTTAGACTGCAGAAGCCATTTAAATAGTGAACTTGTAATTATTTGGTGAAAGGGGCAGCTCTGTGTGACACTGTCCGCTCTCCAATCAGCTATTATAAACACATGAAAAAGTTCAATAGATAGAGGGTTTTTAAGGTCGATAACAATTATTCACTGATCAGTAGCAGCAAATTGTAATTAACACTGTTCACATCACATGCGTCATGAGGTCTGGAACTGGAATGTAATGCTTTGGAAAAAGATCACAAAGCAGAAGAAGTCACAAGTAAGTTGGATGATGATGGTGCCACATATTTAGATTCACCAGGAGACTATTTTACACATTTTATTTCCGATGATGTGCACTAACGGCTCCACATATGGTGTAATTTTGGTGCCACCGATCTGAGCGTGCAAAGAGAACAATGTCCATCGTTTAAACTTACGCCCTCGCTCAAAAGCTTCACAGGATTAACTGATGTAATTTCATTTACAGCCGTTTGACGCTTCTTCACTGGGCTCATCCCGACATTCTCTTTGTTTACGTTTCTGACTGGATCGTTGAAGTCAGGTGATTAGACACATGCTGCAGTGTCTTAAAGGAAAAGTACAGTCACATTCAGAATTCAAACTTCTAAAAGTACTTTAAATATGAAATTATTTAATACTGATCAATAAATGATCAGTGTTTTTAATTAAGAATAATTTTAATTTGAATGTGCTTTACTGGAGGCATCCATGTTTGTCAAAGAACACTACTGCCACCTACTGGTTACTGGAAATCTTCAATAATTGCTGTTGATTGCAGATGTGTCTAGTAGTTCCCATTGGTTTTGCTTGTAAAGCGGGGAGAATGGCGCTAGGCTTACCGCACCGTGACGTCACTGCTGGAAGATGTCAGGGGGGAGGGGTTACTATATTTGGGCAAAAATGGCCGCTCCCAGACACTCTCGACAAAAATTATTGTTTTCATTTTTTTACTGATTAACGCTAAATTCATTAAATCACAGCAAACGTATTAGTTTTAGGTATTCAACTGAAAAAACATCAGAATTAAGTATATTTCTTTTACTGACATGGGGAATTTTCACCGGTTATCGAGGTATTGATTGAATGACGGTAACGGTAAAAATCTTTTTTATCCCCCAGCCCTACTGACACAGACAGACGTCTGATGACTGAAGCATTGCATTCATTCAAACGACGAACATGAGAAATAGTTCTGCTGTGAACTGAGCCTAAGCGGAGAAACTGTGCTTCTTTTAATCGCTGTTTAAATGAGGAAGGTTAATCAGCTGTTTACAATGCAAATACAGTGTAGATTTTGTAAATAGCTATCATATGTTAGATTAGACACGCACCCAGATGTCACACTTTCCAGGGAAAAAGCGTTCGGGGATTCTGGCAGCGTACAGACCGGCGCCGGTGATGTACATGGCACCCATCAGATAAAACCAACCCATCTGTCCGACCGTGGTGGCCTTTACAAAGCCTTCCTCGATGGTGAAGTGCATGGTGGGGACGATGCCACTGAGTCCAAGACCCATGAAGACGCCTGAACACAGAAGACATTAAAAAAAATTATACAAGGCAAAAGGAAAACTTTTATTTTTCTTTTTACAAATAATGATTCCTCACATTCCCTTTCCAAGTACAAAACTCTACTTCTCTAACCATGACGCCAAAATAAAAGCATCTGTGTGATAAACCCAGGGCTATACCCAAACAAAACGCCACCTCACCTGCTCTGGTTGGCCTGTGGCGGGGGGTTGCAAATCTGTCCCACTGGGCGACTATGATGGCAGCGATGCCGAGAACGCAAACAATGGTGAGGTAGATAAGTCGAGGCTGAGGGGAGCAATAGAAGGAGTAGTAGAGCCAGGGCACGAAGGAACCCATGATGAGGAGGGCGATGCCCGAGTAGTCGAGCCTGAGGAGAGAAAGTGTGACAGACGTGATCGTAATGAGGCTCCAAACAGATACAACCATCTGAGATCAAAAAGAAGACGGTGAAACAACATTTTGTTCATCATAAACCCAACTAGTCCTTTCAGTTTTAGCTTTCCTGCCTGGATATTTTCCATCAGTTCATTGAGTGTCAGATACTCTGCTCCACACAGGCGTCTTGTTGCGTGACCCAGTTTGGGTCCGGCTCGAGCAGGCAGGCAGATGGCCTCGTGCTTCAGCACCGCTGTGCAGCACAGCGTGTTGTTCTGATACGCAGTGTTTGCTTTTCTCCAGATGTACTGCGTTTGGTCTCTGTAGCAGGATGTTTTTCAGATGCGACCTTGGAACGCTAAAGCTAGGCTGCTAAGTTTCTCTCAGTGGACACATCTGTTTAGTCTTTTACAAATCATACTATATATGAAGCTTTAGCATTCACCAGTAGCTTTCCAGCTCAGTAATTCCTTACTTGGAGAAGGTGCGAGAGACTTTTTCCGAGTGGCAGTAGACAGTATGAAAAAGCCAGGAGAAGCTGAGGCAGAGGACTGCTCCCAGGAAGAACATCCCAAACACAACCTTCTCCTGCAGAGGTGCCATAAAATACATGTTGGGGCGCAACATGGTTAAAGTGCCCAGACAAACGAATAAGATCAACCCTGAGAAAGGAAAGAAAGCTTTAGGAAATTGAGGAATTGGTGACAACTGAAATGGGAGGATAATCAAAAATAATTGGAGAGAAACTGTCAACGCGTTTTCCTGCTCACCTAACAGATGAGTCCAGATGTTCCCCGTCTCTGTGTGAATTCTAAAGATGCTTCCGAAGCAGGCCCTGAACGAAGGCATGGGAGGCCGGTGTCCGTGCAGCAGGTAGTCGTTGTCCTTCAGCCAATCCGGCAGGACATGGAAGGGGATGACCCTCCAGCGACCCTCCCAAACCTGCAGAGCAGCAGCCATGATTACTGGAAACTGAAGCTAGCTTTATAATCCATGTATGAGGACGTGTGCGCCTATAGCGATAACAATGCCGCCCCGCCAAAATAGGCACATTACATTGCATAATCAATATAAAGTAAAGTCTATAAATCATGTAATATAACATTAATAAAAAGTTAATGTGTTAATGGAGCATAATAATACAGATGTGCCAAAAGTGCAAAACTGATGATCTACATGTAATATACATGTATTGCTTACATTGTTACGGTAATTACATCTTACATGTCTGATAACATATGCTATATATATATATATATATATATATATATATATATATATATATATATATATATATATATATATATATATATATATATATATATATCTTTTTTCCCCATCAATATAACATGTAATTTGTTTCAGCTCATTACTTTTTCAAATGAGAAATACAACTAACACTACAAAAACGACAGCATCATTTACTTAATAAAGAATTACTACATTGACATTTCACAGTGAATTACTTTCTATTTACTCTATTTTCTTACGTTAGACACATTGGCTCATTTAGTCAATATCTTCAAGTCAGTCCAACATAGACGGACTAATGTTACCCTACATACTATACTATGGGATACATTGGCATACATATTGATAAGGCAGGATATTTTCATGAATTTCTTATCGAAGCACTTTTATTTCTTAATATATTTGGGCAAGTTGGTGTTTCTTGTTAATACATTAATTTTTGTCATCAAAATATCCATATTTTTTTATGTTACAAAGGTAATAAGGTCTTGTCCTCGATTCCAATAAAACAATTGGCTTGAAATTTTGATTTTCAAAGTATTTCACTGAGTGCCATATAAAGGGTTAATAAAGGAACGTTATTTTTATGTGGTATCTGAAAGGGAAATTTCAAACATATCCAGATTTTCTGTTCTTTATCGAACACTATGAAAAAAGTACAACTTGAACCTTTTTTTTAAAACTATTTGGTTCCTAAGACAAACCCAAAATGGCCGATATCTACAGAACCAAGAGTTCAAAGCCAATATATACTTTTAGCCTTAGCTCAATTTCTTTGTCCTTTCAAGCCGTCCACAGGTCCTTTCTATTGGACATTACCTTGTGCACAAACTCCTCCATTTTCTCCATGGCATGGTGGGCCTGAAGAGGTAGAGTCAAAACCTCTCCCACCTCATCATCATCGTCTTCCTCCTCAGCTAGCATTGCTACCCCCTTAAAGAGATCAGGACAGACCATCGTTAAATGAGACAGAATGCTATCCTTTCTCTGGAATAGTCAGAGAACCACCAAAAAACCCTGACCTCTGGATGGACACCTTTAGACGGCCCCTGCCGACCCCCCCCCTCCTCCAGCAGGGGCCCGAGTTCCTTCAGCTCAACATCTGGGACGTTGCAGTCCTCAGAGATCTGACAGTCTGCATCACTGGCAGACCCGTTGCGGACTGACATAAGGAGACTGTCTGATGACCTGCTCAGAGTCCGGTATTCTACTTCAGTGGGGATAAGGACACTTCCTCCTGTAGAGACAGAATGACAATGAGGAATGCACCAGACTGGATCACATTTATTTAAAACCACTGCAGTTCACAGTAACAATCAGAGCTCTGCTGAAGCATAAATGTAGCAGCAAAGTGGACAGCCAGAGTAATACATCTTCAATTCAAAATCCTGGTTCTGAAAGAGGGAGATCTAATTGGAGCCTTCTTTTTGCTCGTTTTGAGGGACAGGTCCGGTGTATCCTCCTTAACCTTGGGTATCACGTGATTCATTGCGAGTCCAATCAAACCGTCTGCTCTGGGATCAGAGGAATAAGGGAAATGGAAAAGTTGAAAGTATTGTCAAATTTAAATTCATGTTAATTTTGAGACCAAAAATAAAAGCACACTTATAAGACTGATATAAGCAATTAGCGTTTGCTTTCAGAGCAAAGCAACTCTGTTGGTCTATTGGTTAGAGCAGTGTGCTTGTGCTCTGAGAAGGTTGCAAGTACTGCGTTCGATCCCCACAGCCTCCACACTGGGCCCCTGAGCAAGACGCTTAAACCCACACTGCATGATCACTTACATACCTCTTACAAATGGAATTGGCATTTGACCAATTAGATGAGTCCTTGAATGAAATATTATTTACTGTAAATGAGCTTAAAAAAAAGTTAACAACTGAGGAAAAGAGTTAAAAAGCTAATTTAAAAATTGAAAAGTAAGGTTAAAGGTTAAAAAGTTACTAAGCCTAGTTAGCAATTATATTTAGGTTTATAAACTAAAAACTGTAAGTGCCAGTATCAGCATTAATGCCTCTAATGTTTTGTTGTATCACAAAAAAAGTGTAACTTTTACTCTCAGAGTGTTTTTAATGAATTTCTTATAGAAGCACTTTTGTTATTTTTCTTAATATATTCATGGAAGTTGGCGTTTCTTGTTATTACATTGACATTAATTTTTTGCCATCAAAATATCCATATATATTTTTTAATGTTTCAAAGGTAATAACACGATTAGATTGATATTTTGATTTTTAAAGTATTTCAAATTTTTGTCCCTATAAAGGGTTAATGTGCCTCTGTAACATTGTCCAATACTTGACAAAGACATAGATCATAAAAAATAAAAAATTAATCAATAAAGCCTTTATAGCTTTGAGGGAATCTTTGGTGCAGCCATAAATTATGTAGGTCAAATGGATCATACCTGCTCCAAATCATGTTTTACTTCAAAACCGTACATTATTTTACCATAATTTTATATATAATAAAGGAAACTAAAATATGGTTTAAACGAATATCTCTCGACAGCCTAATCTAGACTATAGGTTTACACAGGATATCATTTTAAATCAAGTCAAACTAGAATTTCAAGTCCAGTCAACTGATAAAAGGAGAGCTATCTGTGTCACAAATCATACTAACCAGAGTTAAACACGCAGATCTTCAATCAGGACGACATATTAAAAAAATCACTTCAACTGTTGCCCCTTTTGGTTTAGTAAGGTATAATACGGTAGTTTTCACAGTGTAATGCAAGTTATTTCACGCTATTGACATTAACTACGAGTTCCATAGAGGATTATTAACATCCAGAATCCCTCTAATAGATCACATTATGAGGAAATGTTCTGATATGAGGCTTAGGCTAACAAAAAAGACAAAAGTTAGTGTTTGTAGGCGAATAGCTTCCTGACGGATGTTAAATAACATCACAAAAGCGACCGACGGAACACAGAGAACTGAATGTAAACAACCTAAAAATACAGGCGAAGTTGGTTTAATGTGGGACTAAAGCAAGGTTTGTATTATGTTATAAAAATATACCGAGGTAATACATACGGAGGGCAATTATGATCGTTAAAGCGTCTAACAAACTGGTAAATAGCAGGTTGCTAACATTACCTGTTAGCTAACCGAGCTCCAGCAGCCGAAGAGGAAATTGATTATTTAGCAACGCACTCGCTGTCAGAGATACAGAGGTCAAAACAGAAGCGCAGCGGGCCGCAGGCTGAAATAAACACTCACCAGGATTAACACTGTCAACTAGAATTTATTAAATGCCCCGAAGTTACCTGACGAGGAAGACTCCGAAGCAGGAAGGTAAATTATTTATGGTTGTGCGAAACAAAGCTACTTCCGGAAGTTGACGTGTCTCGGCGAATCAGAATCCGCTCCAGTTACTCCAAAATAAAAGCCCGAAAAATGCGTCTATTGACAAGCTGGTCTCAACGGAGACATGAAAAATCCAGATAGTTTATTTTGTGAAGGAGAAAATGACGTCATGGCATTATACACCACAAAACAACGTGGAAACATTAAAATAACCGCACTTTAAAATGTTTTGCATTTTTGTGAATCATAAGAAAGGGTTAACAGTTTTACACTTCTTATATCTAATAAAAAATATTTAAAAAAATAATAAGATACAACAATTACATTTTTACAGTAGTATTTTTTTTTACAGTGGTAAAAAAATGTAACAATTTTCTAATCCAAATAACTGCAATAAAATCCAATGTTTAATTAGTCTACATTTTTTTTGTGTTACAGAACACTGTAAAAAAAAAAATAAAAACATCTAATTTTGTAAAATTATGCTTTTAAAAATGTTTGCTTTTTTAACATTTAATTTACTAGGTTCTAAATAATTTTTTTTAGCTGCAACTGTTACTAAACCAGTGAAAAGACTTGAACCACGAAGGGAGGAATCAAAATACTGGTGCTTGAATATGACAGAATAAAGGCTGAGAAAGAACTGGGACAACTGTATGACATACAGTTTTTTTTTAATAGCAAGTAGAATAAAATTAGGCCAATGTGGAAATAAAGCAGCCATTGAAAGACACACAATATGGCAGATAATATCAGCATTATTTACTAAATTTAAGCATAAATGATCAGCTTCATTGTTAGGACCCTGTCATTTAAAAAAGAAGACGATGTTGAGCCTATGCACAGCATTTAGGCTGAAATAAATATATTATTTACACCTCTTTATATATATAAAAAGAAACTTCAAAAGCAATCCATAAGAGACTAAGAAATTGAAAAAAAGCTCTAAATCAATGGAAGAATAAAGGCACAAATAAATGAAACAGGTTTCATTCAAACAATATTTATTTCCACAGTTAAACAAAAGTCACAGGTTTTTTAATACAGTAACATATTTACCAAATATCAACTACAAACATAAATAGAAAAAAAGGCAGTAAAAACAACAACAAAAAACAAGAGGCACACAAGGTAACATGATTGTGTTCTATTAAAAAAATACACAGCAACAAACTATATTTGTTTTATAGCCTCTGGTCCAAGTCTGTTCAGATTTCAAGTCTGGCTTTTAAGGTTTTCTGGGTGCAAATCACATTAAACTGACAACATGTAATTACAGCCTAAAATGTAGGATTTAAATCTTATTTCCAACCATTTCTACCCAGCAAACAGTGACCGGGTTAAGGCAGGATGTTAGTTAACCCATGGTAATCAGATTGTTTGTAGTGCTTAACAAGTGTAGCATTAAGAAGGAAATAAGAAAAAACCCACAAATTCAGAAGTTAAAGCTCTGATGTTCCTCCTCTCCATAGCTGCCAAGAGATTCAGTATTGACCTGGCTTTAATATCAAAATGTTACTTTACTCGTCAAGTGATTAGGTTAGTAGCTTTTTTTATTTTTTAAAACTATTCTTTGAGTGTTAGTGATTCAAGTTAGGCAGCGCAGCCTAAATACAGTCATAGCTCTCTGGAAAAGGACAACAAAAATTGTTTAGTGTGACTAAAGGCAGCATAAGTTTACCAACTTGGATTATTTCAGAAGATATACTTCTAATCTTTAGTATTATTAGTAGAGATAGACAGATACATCTGCAGATCCATATCAGTGTTTCTTTCTCGTATCGGTATTGGCTGATTGGGGCGATTTATAGGTGCATTTACAGCAGTAGCCATTCAAAATTTCCCCACTTTCCTTGATGGGCCCTTGGCTGGTCCCCTACAATTACTTTTTAAACATCAACCTTTGTACTAAAATATTCTTTCTGTCATGATTTGTGAACATTAAGATCTAAAGAAAAGCGTCATCTCCTGCTCAGACCCTGTAATTCCGTGAAAGGGTGGAGTCAGAGTAAAAAAAAAAAAAAAAATGCAAGAGGGGTCAATCCAGCGGCTGGAAGTTGGAAGAAAGTGGGCTGCTATTAGGCTGGCATTTGACCAGGAAGCGCCATTTTAAATGGCTCCTACTATGGTAGTCAAACCTTGTCATCTTTGCAGTGTTGTTCCCCTGCAGCCATAAAGTTTATTCAGAAACATCTTTCGTTTAAACTGACTATAAATAACCTGGAACTGAATTTTTTTTTTTGAAATGTAAAAAAAATTTCTAAATCTGGAAAGGAAAAGATTTGAATCTGCAAACCAGTCACATGTTGGAGAGGAGCTGGACTCTCTGATAGCAGAATGTTGGCCATATTAAAATCCATCCATCATCTTCACGATGTGCTGTTCGCCCACAGAAGCACCTTCAGTCAGAGACTCATTTCATCACACTGCACCTCAGGGCGCCCTGGAACTCATTCCTGCCTGAGGCCATCAGACTGTATCATTCATCTCTCTTGATTGTCATTTCATTTATTTATTTTTTCCATTACTTCACTATAAGCAATAACACGGTCATGTGCAATAATAGTAATTTAAGTACTGAGCAGCATTTTAAATAAATTAGATTTTATATGCTGTGATCTTATTTGTACCTACAATCTTACTTTTCTGTCTACTGTAAACGAATGCACTGCAAGAAAAGAACCGGTCGCAAGGGATTAATAAAGTGATTCTTGTATTCTTAAAACAGAAAAAAATTGTAAAAAAAGAAAAAAAACTTGGAAATAAAAATAATTTTTTTGAAACATGCTATTTACCTGTGCCCCCATGAGGAGGGAAAAGCAGTTTAAAACCTTTCTTCTTTGTAATTTAAAATCTTTCTTTGCAGTTTTAATAATAAGAAAGAAAATTCAGTTTAAAATAATGTTTTTGAAGAAACTTTATGGCCCTAATTTAGCTTCATAATTTGCCGTCAACTGTTAAAAGCTTTCTCTGACTTGTTAATAGATGTTTTTTTTGTTTAAATTGAGACATCAGTAATTGTGTTATGTGTATCATGTCAAAGGAGAAACATATCGGCAGCACGGATCAGTTAGACTGATAACAAAATAATCTGCATAGACCTTAAACAACCCTGTATCTGTCAATCTCTAAATATCATCATGAAATGTAGTTTTTCTATAAAACAGGTTCGTAGCTGCGTTATCACCATCTAGGAGGGTTTAGTACCTAAAGCTTCAAACCTGATTCTATGAACTCATGTAACACATTTCAAAGTTATTTTTCAAACTAACAGCTTTGTTGAGAATCAACAAACAGTGATTTTGGTGGAGGTCCTGTTGTCTGCCCAACATTTCATCTTTTCTGACTGAACAGGACAAGCAGCAGCAAAGAGAGTCCGTTCCCTTAATTTGGGAACGTTAAGTAGAAAAGATAAAACCTTAAAGTTACGCTAAATCTAAACATCAGCAGCATAATCCATCTTTGCAAGGGGAAATCATGACCTTCTGCTCGTTTCTGTGGGGAAGAGGTTCTACATATCAGTCTTATATTTCATGCTCAAATGCAGGTGAACAAAAATATGCCTTAATAAAAGTGATTTTTCAGACGACAGTATTTTAGTTCAACTTATTAAAACTGCAGTATGTGGATGAATTGGTTTAAATTCTACACTTGACTCATATAGTGAGAGCCGTCATCAATCAGCCAGTGCTCTGGAGCTTCCCCCGCGTCTCTCTGATGGGCTCCTCTTTGGATAACCTAAAGGTTAGAAGGAGAAGAAAAACAGAATTTAGTTTTAAGCTTCTGATAATATCAGGAAAAAAGTTTGTTTAGTGGAAAACTTTAACTTTCACAAGTATAAAACTTTTTTCCTCCAAAACCTCCATTTATAAGAAGCTCTACACTGCAAATACGATCTAGAAATATGTCAACATTCCTTAAATTAAGAGTATATACTAGGGATGCATGATATTGGGATTTTGGCCGATATCCGATATGCCGATATTTTAAAACTCATGTATCCGATAACCGATATCGATACCGATGTTAAAGCTGAACAAAAATAAGTAGTCATTGAAAATAGCAGTTTTGTTATCCATTTCTGACACTTTGAAAAATAATATACTCAAATATATTTTCATATGCTGATATCAAATAGATTTTTAAAAACGCGGTATCGATCTATTTTACTTTCAAAATCTCGGGAAATTTCCTCGTTCTGTTACAAACTCTCGTGATATTTTGCAAATTCTTGTGAGATTTTGTTAGTAAAATAGATCGATACCGCGTCAATATATCAACATATAAAAATATGTCAAAATTTCGTGAATTTTCGGGGGATTTCGTAGCATAACGATGACATATAGCAATATTTCATTAGTAAAAGAGATTGATACGGTGTTTTTAAATGGCAATATATCAGCATATGAAGATATTGGGATATTTTAATGTATCAATATTTTTTCCCTCGTCTTTAGAAGTTTTTAAGTCTGTAAAAAAAGAAGTTTTTGAGGAAGAAGTAGTTTTTTTTTTTTTTTTTTAGACTTTAGAAACTCAGAAGCTGATCAAATATCGGGTTAAATATCGGTGGGGTGGCCGATGTCCGATATTCAGTTTTAAGGCCGATACCGATAGGGGGCCGATTATATCGTGCATCCCTAGTATTTACCCTTAATCTGAGCAGGTAAATAAGATTATTTGCCAATGGAATCAGTGTTGTGTACCCTTAAAATGAGATAAATAGATAATAAGCACTTTAAATAGGACAATGCAATAGTTCTTTTTTTATATGTAAATTGTCTTGTCTACTTATTTAAGTAAAAAATAATTTTCAGTGTAATCAAAGTGAAAGGCTGGAGGAACAATCCTCTAAAAATCTGACTCATTTATTGACATGATGGTATTTGTTTCTTGAATGCCCGTAAGGGCCCTGTCACACCTTGCCGATTTATCCAACGAATGCCTGATGTCAAAGAATCTCCTAAAACGGTGGCATACGCTGAACTTTCTATGTATTTTTTCAATTTTGGGCGTATACATAGAGTATTCATAACGAGTCCAGAACTTATGTCCAATAACAGCCTAACTTCTGCATAACGCACAGCAGCGTAATGCCCATGCGTGTCCTGAGGGGGGCAGCAATGCGTGGAAGGCGCCTGGCCTGCATAAAAAGATTTATTTGATCGTGGTATTAACCTAGCTGCTGTTTACCGCTAACCAAAAAAAAAAAAAGAATAAATAAAAAGAAAAAAATGCTTGCAGTTGCAGCAGATTAAGCGTCATGTCTGTCATATCAATCATATCACAGTTTTTGCATCAAACTGACCGTATCAATTCGTTTATTTTTCACCATGTTTTTTTTCCCTTAATGTTTACATTTGATCACTGTTGCACTTTAAGAAATGGAAATTTCATGAGAGCTACAGAAAACAAAATTTAGATTTGCATATAGTCTGTGTATACAAAATGACAAAAGAGTTTTTCTAAGTGTAGGAACTTTGTTGGTGGTGGGCGTAAACGCAGGGAGGATCCATCAAATTCACCTTCTGGCTCACCCTATGATGGGGATGAAGTCTGGAGGAGAACTGATGGTTTCCTCCTGTGAACCCCCTTTATACCAAAACGCTGCCAATACGCCATTATACAGTAGCTGGAAGTTAGAAACACGTTCAGCGCTCATCTTGATAAGTTGAGCAAAACGTACTCATAAATTATCCAACGTATGCCTGCGTTCATGCCAGATTTTTCATACTTCAGCCATTCACTGGTCTAAATCGTCAAGGTGTGACAGGGGCTTAAACAAATTCAATCCGCCTGCAGCTTGGGGTGCTTACTTGGTTGGGGTAGCAGGCTGGCTCTCGGCCTGGCCCGTTTTTCAGCCTCACCGCTCCCTGTCTGTCCAGAGAGCGCGACCGTGGCGTCTTGAACTGACTGCGGCGGTGCCAGGACTTCAGCTGCTCATTCACCACCTGCCGGGGGAGGCCGTTGGAGCGGTAGTGTAAGCTGTCCATCTGTGCTGGAGGGGTGAGCCTGATGTCAGAAGGTAAAGGCCTCGTGGCTCTCTGGTGGGGTACAGCAGCGTCTCTATAGTAACAGTCATATCTGTGGGGGCTGGGGGGCATCTGTTGTGAGTCATGGAACCTGGCTAGCTCCATGTCAGGGTGGCAGAACATTTCTTCACCATAGTAGAGTCTCTGAACCACAGGGCTCCTCATGGGCCTGTGGTTACGGGGAAAGTTAGCGGGTGGGGGGGCTTGAGGTCCATAGCTGCGGTCAGAGCTGTAGAAGGGGGCTGTCGGCTGATACTGCCTGTGTGAGGGAGAGGGGAACTCGCGGCTCGGGGAGTTGCTGTGAATAGAGAAGGAGCGTTCAGAGTTGCTGTCCTCGGAACTCGCCAGGCTGCTGTGGCTCATGGTGGGAGAATGAGTTTCTGGTAGAGTGATCTGGTATTCAGTCAGGCGGCGCCTGGGGCCTCTGCTACGACCACGGTCCTTAAATAACGGGGATTCTGGATTGGAAACCCTGAGAAATGACAAAGAAAAGGTTGATTCAGAGTGTCCGTGTGTATATAATGTTTTCTCTTCATGAAGAACATGCCGGACAGACAGCGCCCCAGAGATGGACCAACCTGAGGGAGAGCTGTCTGTGCACACGCATCTCTGGTGTGGAGGGGGTGCTGTTGGACTGGGCGCGGCTCAGTCTCATATGGGAGAGTTGCTGCGGTAAGCAAGCCTCCAACGGTGGCAACACTTCAGATTTGGCTGGACTGCTGAACACAGAACACAGATAAACTCTACCGGCCTCTGTCGTCGGAAGAGCATTCTCTTCCATATATAAAAGACATTCACAAGTACAGATTACTCTGTTTTCTTGAAGTAAAATTAAAAAGTACAAATTCTACATTGTATTTAAGTACAAAAGTATTTTTTCTTGTATGAAATTGTACAAAAACTGTGTTAAAGCTATAGTAAAGGATGTTCTTTTTCCAGGTGGATCGTCTAAATAAATGGTCGTCCTAATTGTCAATCATCCTGGTCATATGTTTACATAAGGCCGTCGTGCGTGTTTGTCCAAATATTCACTTATCGGTGGCGAGTCTGACATAGTGGAAAAATAAAAAATCTTCTTTTGGAAAGTAAGCTTGTATGAACGAAGCAAACAGCAACTGTTAAACAGAGCGTGCACGAGGAGAAATAGCTCGTGAAATTGTGAAAATCCTCCACTATGCCTTTTATTTTTCTCTTTTTTTTTTCTCACTGTTTGGTCTAATTTTGACCTATATTAAAATTACAGACAGGATAAAAGTATGAACCGAAATACAACTCGAAACATCATTAAAATTTACATTTAAACTACTAAAGGGGAATGAATTAAGAATGTCTTCTATATCCAACGTTTCTTCCTCCATGTCTCTATAAGAGAAGAAGCCACTTGCAGAACGTGAGAAAGTAGAGCATGTATGTTCACAAGGGAGTAAAATTAAGAAGTCCTCAGAAGAATAAATACTTAAGTAAAGCAGTTAATGGACAAAGTTATTATCATAAGACTTTAAGAAAAAAACATTAAAATTATAAAAATAAATAGCTTTAATCCTTGAAGAACTTAGGTTATCGGTTTGTTCAGCTATTTTATTTCTTCAGAACACCTAAAAAATACTCCTTTAGAAAAAGGGCCACTTCAAATCAAACGCATTGATTGTGTTTTCACTTTCATTGCTAAAATCTCCATATCGTCTCAGAGATGATAACCTTTCCAACCTTTTTTATTTTTTACTCTCTTATTCTGAGTACAAACTGAACAGATACTCATCTACTCACACAGGTAGCATAATCCAGAGAGACCTGTGAATCGAGAGATTGATGTGTGCTGGTCTGTAGCATTTCTGCATCAGCAGAGGGCATTGATGCACTTTCCAACTGATTACTGCCAACCAGCAGAATTCAGAGCCAAATATAACATCTCAGTGTTTTCACTACAGATTAGATGACAAACTATTTAGAATCTCAGGAGTGAAAAGTCATTTCCATCCTTATAATGAGAGGCAAAATGACTAGAAGTCCCAGCTAAGAAACTCTCTGTTTGATTTAAAGTTTTAAAACTGAAAAAGCAGGAAAGAAGCGATGACAGATGGTGTGTCTCACCTCTTTGTGCTGGAGGAACGCGACTTCTTGCTCTTCTGGTAAGGCTGGTCAAGACTAGACTCAGTCCAGGGGGAGTGCTGGATGGGAGGAAGGTCGTAGGCTGGGCTGGAGGTAAAACTTGACTTGGAGTCGACGCTGGGACAGGGAGACTGACAGAGGTTAGACGGCAGGGACTGCAGGGCCACAGATGGAGACGTGTAGGAGCCGTCGATGGAGGAATGTGCAGACATGACGTGAGGTTGAGGAGGATCTGTTTCCACTGGATGAGGAAGCCCAGAGGACGGCTGAGAGGACTGGCTGGTAACTTCTGGAACATAGAAAATAAAAAAAATACTTTTATTAAAAAGTATGGCTTAGAAAAGATGATTTAGGAAAGCATCCAGAAGGAATGGTTTAGAAAATACAACCCTGTCCTTTGTAGATTGGATATGTTACAGAAATAGAATCAATCTAAATCTGCACATTTATCTATTTAATCTGAAACATTTAGGTAACAAAAAGGAAAACCAATAGAAATCTTTTAAGAGGGTAAATGCTTTTCACATCAGTATACGTTTAATGGTTGTTTGATAATACAAAAACCCAGAAACTCTGACTAATAAAAAAAAAATAAAGCTGAAAAAAATAAAACATTTCCACTTGTACAAATCAGGACAAGTCAATTCTTACCTTCATCTTGCACCACAGAATCAGATAACGAGCTGTCAGATGCGCCAAGGTCTGATTTAAAAAAACAAAACATTAATATTTTAGGCACTAAATGTAGTCCTGTCTCGAGTTTTATCAGAAGGATTTATGAAGGGATGATGTTATCCAGCCTGTCCTTTCTCACCTTGTTGCGGAACATTAAAAGCAGGGAGGGGCGATGAGCGGCCACGCTCCAGCCGCAGCCGCAGCTGAAAGGCAGATTCTTGTAGCTTCTTCAGTTTCTTTTCCTCGGCTTTGCACTGCAGAATCCGACTCTTCCTGACTGCCCTGCTCAGGTGATCTTCTTCGCAGACCTTGCGGGCGGCTTCGTAAATCTTCTGCTGGAGAGCCAACTTGCCATCCACTAAACTGAGCTCTGAGTCCTGGAAAGGATGCAGGGACCATGGAAGAAATGTTAAAAGTCGGCGGGAAACGGCTGTTCCAACCGTTGCATTTACGAATTCTCCCGAGTGGTACACGACTTTACACGAGTGAATAAAGTGAATGTGATTGGTCGTTTATCAAGAGGGCAGGGTTGTTATGGCGGAAGGTTCGCAAGCAAGTATACAGCTTTTCAAGGCTAGCTAGGCTAACTGCGGGGGATTGAAGGGGCATGGTTCAAGATTGATTAAAGGCCAATATATGCTTCTTACACATAGCCTCTGCAAACGTCAAATCTGTCTCTGTGCACGACCACGCCCCCCACGCAGAGGTTCCGCAACCGTGGTCACACACCTCAAAATATCCTGACTACGAGTCAGACGGTCGCAAACCTGCGCAGACCTCAAGCGGAAGTGCGCAGACAAAAAGAGGCTGTGACTAGCCCTTGGTATGCCTTTCCGGCTGTCTGTGTGGTCGTCCTTCTCGATTCGGTGCCGGGGTGCGCCATTTTTTAAAACCGAGGAACAACTACAATGGACAACTACGACAAAAGGTTAATCTGTCTTTTTGCCAACTCCATCAACAGAACCTGTGCCTCTTCGATATCTAGCAACACTAGATCCACCCGTGACCGTGATATCTTGCAGACACTCCAATGTTGTTTTGGAAAATAAACACTACTGCCCGAGCTGCCAAAGTTCTCGTGGCAATCCGCCGAAGTTCTTGCGAGTTCTTGAATAGGCTCTCCCTTGCACTTTGGCGGGAAACTGCTGTGTGTCACTAGAAATTCCAGACCGACGGTGCAGAAGTATACCAGCAAAACGGGTTTGCAACCAGACCAACACGACATTTGATATGTGCGTTTGCAGAAGTATAGAAACGACACTGTCAAGGAACGCTATGGACAGCAGAAACATGCAAGAGGAGGAGAGTTTAGTGTCGGAGGTCGTGGATGAGTCTCCTCCATCATCCATTTTTTATTTAGAGGAGGAAAGCGGGACGAAGATGTTGTGGAAGAGGACGCCAGGGCAGCAGAAGCTTGGTTTGGTGTAGAAGGCTTCCAGCCGTACATGTTTGAGCCCTTGCCTCGCAACGCTGCCAGTTCTGTTAGCTCTACGCCTGCTGAAGACACAGACGTCCATCCCTGTGAACACTGGGACGCAACTCAATGGGAAAGGATATTATTCTTATTTCAACCGTTGCCTATATTAGCTGGGACATATGAATCAAGATGCTATGACCGAAAAAGTTTAACAGATGACCGTTGATATATGATTGGCCGAATTTAGGTGTACAAGCTGACGTATAACTAACTGGCCTGCATAAGATAACGGGAAAAAACAAAGATTTTAGACAGGATTTTAAAGAGAAATATAGAAATTTTCTAAATGTTGGGACAATATCACCTGATAAAGAGCACATTTATCTACATGTCTAAGCCAGAATGATTTGACATTTAAATATGACTTCCCTACGACTTTAAGCTTTGGAGAATAAATCGTAGACCTTCAAATATGCGACTGCATCATGTACCTCTGATCCCTGAGGGATGTTTTCCTCGTCCAGTTTAAAGGCTGCTCCGATGCGTCGGCGAACCTGTGGAGGCTTCTCTCCTGGTAGCAGAGGGTAATCTTTAGGCAGCTGACCTGTCAGCTCCTAAACCGTAACCACAAACAATCAGAACATACATTCACATTTTAACAACCTTAAAAGTTTCATTTTCAAACTGCTTGGCTAAACAGTTAATCAAAACAAAGCTTTGTTCAAAACTTCGACCGTTAAATCTCATGTTTAGTTTCTGTTGGAGGCTTTTGAAGGGGCTTATCCAACCACCACCATGGCAGTTATGAAACAATACGCCAGAATCTGTATCGGATCCTTTCAACGTGTTCAGACAGATGGGTTCAAAGAGTTGGTTGCACAATTTGTTACAGGGGATGTTTCACAACTACATGCTTTGGATTTCACTTTCTAACAAAAACTTTTCACTTTGAGCAAGAAAAAGCGTCTGTAAGGAGAACAATAAAAACCGACAAAAGGCTTGCTGGTTATCACAGAGGCAGCGCTACGACACAAGCGCATCGATTTGGATTGACTTATTCTGTGTCACTGAACACAGGGAGAGGCAGCGTGACTCCTATTAGTGGATCTGAGCGTGTCCCAACAGGACAGCCCAGCCCAAGTGTCAACGGGAAACAATGATCCGTCTTCGGATTTCACCTTGGAACGCCTCTGCATGCCAGAGCTGAAACTATGCTTGGATGAGTCCAGATTGGAAATGACAGCTGATATGTGTGTCGGTTTTTATTGCACCTTTCACCCAGCAGACACAGACATACTGAAAGAGGAAGTAAAGAGTGAAAGATTAACGGGACGATGTGTGACAAAAACTTCCAGCAAAGTCCTGTTTAGCAGAACTTTTTAAGAGGAAATAAACCGAGAAAAAACTTCAGTTATCCGATGAAACTGGATCGCTATATTTAAATATGTGACCTTCACCAAATTCCTCCTTATTCGTGTCTCTTTCTGTCAGGAGATGATTAGAAAGTCCTGGGATCTTCAATTAAATGTCAAAATAAGTTCATAATCATTTTTTGCAGAGAGAGATTGATTGTTGAAGATGTTCTTTCAAGCTTGAAGTACAAAATGAGCTTCACAGTATGAGGGAATGTTTGACACATGTTTAACCGCAGTAACAACTGTCCTGATTGATTAAGGGTAGAGATCGGCCATCTTTACAAGTCAAAGAGTAATTTCTACCTTTTTACGCTGAAAATTAAATAAGCTGTTCTATGAAAGTGTGATCATTGTATTTCTATTTACACTGATTAGAACAAAGAGATAAACATGAAAGTTGAATGAAAAGAAAACAAACATTTTTGTAGCACATAATCTGTGACCAATGAGAGAGATATAAAGAAAAAAATTAGCTGAAAAAAATTCATTCTTTTGTGGATATTTATGCTTATTTTGATAAAAACAACAAACAATGAAATCTTTATATTTAAAAATTCTGCTAACACCTAAATTAGAAAAGGGCCAGAAAGACACATAAGGAGCTAAAAGGTGCAGATTCCAGCCATGTACTCGGAGATTGGAAACTAATTAAATAAGCTTTTTACCAAAATATTTTAATCAGATGGCTGACGGGTCTGTTATCTTGCCCTGCTGTTTCTAGTCAGAAAACCACACTTGTAAATTTTACGTCAGTCTGCTTTAGTTTTCACAGTAAAATTAACCATTTCATGGCCACCCAAAGTGAGGCCATCGGCACCAACAGCTACATCGGTGATCAAAGAAAACTTTTAGACTTTAAGGAAAGAAAGAGAAAAGGTGAATCGGATCGGGACACGACTCAAACAAAAGGCAAGACCATTACTCGGTGGCAGGCCTGCATCAGTTTGGCACACAATGCTGGACTTGTAGCATACATACGGAAGAGGATTAGGGCCACTGAAAAAATTTAAAAAAAGTTAGATTTTTTAAATATTATTTCAGTTTAATATGTGGAAAAAACTCAGAATTCTGTCTTTTTTCTTAGAATTCTGACTTTAATCTCAGAATTTTGGATCTTAATGTAGATGGGCAGCATGAAGGAAGGGATGTGGGAGCACTCTGCTTTACTGACAAAGATGCGAGTCGTTTGGGAGGGCCAGTAACACATTACATGTCATCAAATTAAAGTCAGAATTCTGAGAAAAAAATCTGAATTTCGAGATTAAAGTCAGAATTCTGAGATTAAAGTCAGTATTCTGACTTTTTCCCCCATATTAAACTTAAATAATATCTAAAAACATATTAACTTTTTTTTTTTTTATCTTTACAGTGGCCCTAATCCTCTTCCGTACAGACATGTTCATCTCCGTTTGTTTTGTTTTTATTGTGTCACTATAAAACACAGAGAGGCTGTGTGAAAAGGCTGCTGTACACTAGTTTACAGTAGATAATGTACAGTACTACCCATCTCTCAGATATTTCATCATGATATGAGTTTTCTGGCTGCTTTGAGAGGGACAGCGCTGGAGCTGTGGGGCAGTGCTATTTTCAAAAGGACCTGTAGGGGGAGCATCACTAAAATATGACTTGTGCTGCAGTCTGGAGGCCTTGCTCATAGCATGGTCTCATGCTCCTCTGTTGAGCCTAACCAAGCTGTTTAACATTTAATATCCAGACTGGACATCCATGAACGATATCTGCAACCAAATTTTACCAGTTTAAAACTTTTACTAAGATGTTTGTAAATTGATTTTTGCAACTTAAAACTAAATAGCAGATATTTGAAAGTGCAGTTTTAGACCAGTCAGAATGAAGGGAGAGATTTCCTTTTTGCTGTCGGGGCTGCAGTGAGCTGCTGATGGCCTGAACAGTGCCAGGTTCATGTTTTCACAGGGCTTCCTTCGTGTTTAATTGCAAATATTGATTCCTGTTGCTCTCATTAAAGGAAAATTCAGAATTCAACTTTCTGAAAGCACTTTAAATATGAAATTATTCCATACTGTTCAATAAATGATAAGTATTTTAATTAAGAGTAATTTTCATTTGAATGTGCTTTACTGGAGGCATCCATGTTTGTCAAAGAACACTACTGCCACCTACTGGTTTGTGACGTCACGGTGCGGTATCAGCTGTTGATCAAGTCCCAGTGCTGTATCTGGTGTTTGTCACAACGCGCTATTATCCAAGTCATCTTGAAAACATTCTTCTTCCAAGTGTTGGCTACATATTACGGGTTTTTCTCTGGCCAGAAGTTGGCAATCCAACGACTAAACCGTCCGTGGAGGATCAGGAATCAGAAAGGTGAAATAACTCTTTTTTTCCCCCCACTTTTACCCGATGTATTCCAGCATACAACAGTCATGCACGCGGGCATCGTCATTTTAACTATAGCTCTGGTGAATTTCAATGGTTAAGTCCTCTGGAAATCTTCAATAATTGTTTTTGATTGCAGATGTAGTTCCCATTGATTTTGCTTGTAAAGCGGAGAATATGGTGCTAGGCTTACCGCACCGTGATGTCACTGCTGGAAGATGGCAGGAGGAAGGTGTTACTATATTTGGGCAAAAATGGACGCTCCCAGAATCAGTGATCGCGACGAAAAATATAGTTTTTATTTTTTTACTTTTTTTTTCTTTACTGATTAACCCTAAATTCATTAAATCACAGTGAGCATATTAGTTTTAGGTAGAAATAATGATCCATTGGTTATTCCTTGCTAACCAGACCTTTTCTTTAAAAGTCAGGGTATCGTCATATTTCCATAGTTCTAAAAGTTTCAGCCTAACCAGCGTCTGTGCTATGGAGGAAGCCCAGATGAAAATTAAAGGGCCTTTATGCTAATTTTTAATGAGCATATTGACTTGATCTTCAGTGTAACAGGGACTTTTTTGATGGAACTACACGTTAGTAAATAATATATTATGACTTCCCCTTTGTTCGGTTGACCAAATGACCGGTTTCAATTGTTTTTCTCTAAGAAGCTAAGCTAGCTAACATAAGAGGCCTTCTGGGAAAAAAAAAGGATCATAGTTCTTTTGTGGAATAAGGAGAACTGGCAGGAAAATGTGTCACAAAGACTCTGAACAGAGCTGCCCCGCCGATGTAAGCCTCCCTAAGACAGCGATGAATCACGCTGACTGTACACTGAAACAGCCTGATTAAACATCTCTATAATGCTTCCAAAATCCAGTGGACTTTGTTTCCAAGTTTGAAGACGTTTCGCTTCCCATACAGGAAGCTTTTTAATTCAAAATGTCAGGAATAGCATTAACATTTTGAATTGAAAAAGCTTCCTGGATGGAAAACGAAATGTCTTCAAACTTGGAAACAAAGTCCACTGGATTGTTTTTAATTTTTTTTTTTTTGGAATGACTATGACCTTGATGACTGAGAATCTTCACCAGCATCTCTAGAATACCTTCATCTATCCTCTGAGTTAGCAAACCAAAACGCTCAAGCATCATTACAAAGACTGGAGGTCTCACTCACAGCTTCTTGGATACAGAGCTTCTTCAGCTCCTGTAAGCAGATCTCCAGCCGGCCTTGGAGCGCCTGGTGCTTCAGCTTCATGGCCCGTGTGTGTGTCGTCACATCCTTTGCATTCGTAGTCGGGCTGTCTGAGCCTGCATCATGCAACCAGAGAAAGAACACGTGAGTGTCAGCCTTACAACTGTGATTATGACTGCCATAAAGTTCATTGCGCAGTAGTTAATAATGAAGCTGATAAGGGGGTAAAATACAACAAGCAGAGAAAACTCAAAATGAAACACAGAGATCAACTAAAAAAAAAAAGAAAAAAACTCAAACTCATTAATCAGTGTTGAAGAGTTTGTTGTGACATGAGTAGAAAGAGCAGTGCCTGCTTTGTGATGGCTAATATGTTGACTTTGGATCACAGAAATGTTTTTAGAACTGCAATACATTACAGAGAGAAGTCAGTGTGCAAAACTTCATAAACATGCAAAACATCCATCAAAAACAAAACAAACCAATAAGTAAAGGAACCGGAATATGAATGTTATAAAAGGTTCTGCAGAAATATATTTTTAATTCAAACTTCATAATAAAATCAATTTTTATTAGGAGACTAGAGAATATTTTTCAAATAGGGATTAGGCTGCAGCAGTTTGGACAAGAGATTATCTCAAAAGTGAAGAATAAATTTTGGTCTTTGGTGCATTCCTCATTAGTGACACCGAAACTAACAATCAGTATCAGGATCTTTGCAGCCATAAACAATGTAAGAGTACAGCCGCCGTCTGTAGCCGTAGTAACTGATGACATGAGGATTAGTTTCGAGGGGTGGGAGGGGCCATTGAGCACAATGCATTGAGGAACACATACTTTCAGAGATTACGCCAAGAATCCCTGCAGGTACAGACAAAGTCAGAGGCGCAACAGGAAGGAAACCATGACAGCACCACAATGGCCTGAAGATGGCCGCCGCTTTCAGACACAATCCGCCTTTTCACTGTGAAGTGACACTTTTTCATTGTGTGGAGGACAGAAACCACGTGGCTCCATGAAAGCGCGAGAAATGTCAGAACATAACAGATAGGCAACAGGACTGAGTAAATAAAGGCAAGACGGCTACGGTTTACTTTTATGTCACATTATTAAAGACAGCAGCTTTAACTTAATGCAAGTTTGGATACAAAGAACAACAGAAACACAGAAACAGCTGATTTTTCCATAGAAATATTAACATAAGCTGTTCTTATGTTACTGCAATGCAGTGTATGTCAGTCACTATTGGAAGTAACAAACAAATCTCACACTCTATCCAGACCATTAATATTGCAAAGAAGACATAACTAAGTAGTATTGTTTAAAAACAGCACATTCTAAGACTAATTTTAGTTTGCTTTTAGCTTCAGCAGACAGCAGCATGGTTGGCTATGTAGCTTCCTAAACAGGGAAACCGCAGCAGCCACCAGCTGTGGAATAAAAGCTAATTAAAAATAACTAATTCAGTTCCATTCTGTTTATTTCTATAGCACCAATTCACAACACATGTCATCTCAAGGCACTTTACAGTTTACCAGATCATACAGTCAGATTGATTCAAAGTTTTCTATCTAAGGAAAACCAGTTGATTGCATCGACAATGCAACATTTGCATTGAGGGTAAATTAAGCAGTTTGGATCCTGCTTTGGGTCCTTAATGGACCAGATTCACCAGTTTGATCAAATTAAACAATAAATCTGACTATTAAAAGTGCTCTGAGATATAAAAACACTTTGCTGATGATGTTTTTAATAGTATCACATGAACTAATGTTGTAGAAAAGTTGGTTTAATCGACTCTGGTACCATTTTGTTGGTCAGAAGCTAAACTGTTCTCTGATAGTTCTTCACTGTAGACGTCATTGTTTGTTTATGTGCACTAAAGAATCTCAGGAAAGCTTGATGGTCTTTAAATGTTAAAAATGCGCTCAAGAGGAGATTGAATACGTTCCAACATCAACCTCTAATTATTGATCGGCTGCTCCTCCTGCCGGTGGCATGAATGAAAGCATTAGAATCAAATTTCTTTCCATGTACCACATTAACACTAACTTCCATGATTAAGTCAGAACAACTTTTGCGATTGCAACATATATATAAAAAAAAAATAAAAATCGCTTCACCAACAATACTTTGCATGAGCTTGCTAACTGCACCTCCTGTTTATTACAGCCAAACATAACCTAAATGTATGATGACATCACACTTTGCATCGCCTGGTTAATTCACTTAGGAAACTTGCCTGATTCACTTTTTTTTCCTACACCATTTTAAAGTCGTAGGGAAACAGTCGTTCCAACTGCTGCATTTCCCAATTCTCCCGAGTGATGCACGACTTTACACTAGTGAATGAAGTGAATGTGATTGGTTGATTATCGAAAGGGTGGGGTTGTTGTGGCAGAATGTTCGCAAGCAAGTTTGATTGTAGCCGGTTTCTCGGAAGCATCTTGCTAACCAGTTAGTGTTAACCAACTTAGTGCTACAATTTTTATGTAGAGGAAGAAAGCAGGGAAGATGTTGTGGAAGAGGATGCCATGGCGGCAGAAGCTTGGTTTGGTGTAGATGGCTTACAGCCGTACATGTTTGAGCCCTTGCCTCGCAATGCTGCCAGTTCTGTTAGCTCTACGCCTGCTGAAGACACAGACGTCCATCCCCGTGAACACTGGGACGGAACTCAATAGCGAAGGAAATGATTCTGATTTCAACCGTTGCGTATATTAGCTTGGACATATGAATCAAGATGCTATGTCCGAACAAATTTGATTGACAGATGAGCGTTGATATATGATTGGCTGAATTTATTCCTTTTTTTCTTTTTTTTTTAACAGTGTCCTGTCTGGCGATGTGGCGTTAAGAATAATTGTCTTGATGCCAAAAAGAACCCAACAGATTTTGCTTTCACAAGTGGAGCCACTTGATTTATGCATATAAATAGGTTTATTATTATTCATGCAGGGAGTATTGCAGATTGTATGGACACTGCAATATAAGTAGAACAGGAAAGGAAAAACAGAAAAAAGGAGAAAGATGAAAGAAATAGTAGATAAAAGGGAGATTGGCCGAATTGAGGTGTAGAAGCAGACGTATAAATAACTGGCCTACATAAAAAACACAGATTTTAAGACAGGATCTTTTTTATAAACATTTTTAAATACATTTTGGGACAATATCATTTGAAAAAGAGTACAATTACATGTCTAAGCCAGAACGATTTGACACTTAAATATGATTTCCCTACGACTTTAAAATCTTGATCAAAATTTGCCTGAGAAATGGTCGAAAACAGCTAGTGAGGAACAATCAAAGCAAACTATTTTGGTTTCAGAGAAAGGCATAATGTCATAAGCAGAATTATTATGTTTAGACGCAGCCGACTGCCTAGATGAGATTTTGGTCTGAAGGTTAATGGCTACTCCTACTTGGGCAGAGCACCTTTTTCTGTTTATGTGAAGCAGAGTACAAAGCATTTCTGATCCTGTAATGGGAAGCTGCAGCTGCTGGGATTCATGAAGAGTTCTGCTCAAACAGGATAAAACATTAAGCCATATATGAAAATTATTCATTCATTCATATGTCATTGGCTGATCTCTGACCTGTTGGTACCAGAAGTGACGAAAAAAGGGGAACAAGACTAAGGGTGTGCAAAATAATCGTCAAATCGATGAATCGTGATTCTAATTTTTGTGATCTACTGCATCGATTCTTGAAGGCAAGAATCGATTATAAAAAAAAAAAAAATGAACAAATAAAATACATTAATGGTTGGCGCACATCAATCAAACCAATCGGAATACAACTTCCAGTCCAGCAGATGTCGCTGCGGATGTGTTGAGGCCTGCTGCTTTGTGTCACAAGCATGTCCGGCCGTGGGATACTGAGACAAGTCATTCGTAAACAAAATATGGAGGAGACTGAGAAAATTCGCCCCCCGGCTCCATCACATTTCAAGTCAGATGCTTGGATGCATTGTGGCTTTAAAAACAAAGAAGGTAAAAACGAAATTGATATGATGCACGTAATTTGCAAAAGGGGAAATGTCATACATTTGAATGTTTTCATTTAATTGGTTTAAAGGACGACTGAGGCCATGTAAACGGCACTGATTATCCTCATTTTGTTATTTTAAGTTTTATGAATCCTAAGATCTTTTTGTCAGTGTGTCCACGCCAGTAATAGTAATATTTCTGTCCAGTATTTGTTTTCATGGCAACACCTCCAAAAGTCATTTCAATAAATACAGCTATGTATGAATTCAGTTGCTTTCCGTCAGCTGTATCTTTTTCTTACAGTGTTCAGTGAAAATATCGCAATGCATCGCAATATTTCAAGTATCGTGATACATCGTGATAGAATCGCATCGTGGCATGTGAATCGTGATTCGAATCGAATCGTGACTTCTTTGCCAATACCCACCCCTAAACAAGACAGAATATTAAAAGCAAGATTAATTAAAAACGATATCAGCTGATATCAGATGAAATGGCAGGAAGATTAGAGACAGTGAGCTCATGTTATGGCATTAATTTCAGACTTATCATTTTTAAAGAACTATGTGACTGTTTCTTTGATTAACATTAAGCAGATAAAAAACCGGGCTCTAAACATCACTGAATTCTGATTGGCTGTTGAACTCCATGAGCCCGCTGTGACTCCTGATGAATGAAAGTAGGGACAGAAAAGGAGAAACCAGTTTCTCATAAACAGAACCAGAGCTAGCACTGATGAACTTCTGCTAAACGAGCCCTGCTACCAGTTTAACATTGAAACAACGCAGGAGTGCTACTGGTTTCATGTGATATAACCATAACAGCAGCAAACAGAAATCTCTGCAGAGCTGCAGATGTGATAAATCTGAAATCATTTCATTTATCATCATCATTTCATCTATTTCAGTCATTTAAAGTGTTTTACCTGAGTGAAGGATGATGCCACTGTCAGTGTCGCTGATTTCTCCAGTGACCTCCATGTCAGTAGATCGACTTCTGTTCCTGCACTGCAAAAAATAGAAATCTCAATAAGTTATTTTTTCTTAAAATAAGTGCGTTTTTCCTTGATTTGAGAAGGTAAGTAAGACACTTTGCCAATGGAACAAGACAATTTCCTTTTAAAATAAGAAAAAACAATTTTTTCTTCTTATTTCAAGTGCATATTATCTAACTATCTTATTTTAAGAGTGAAAATACTCATTCCATTGGCAAATCATCTTATTTACCTGCTCAAATTAAGGCTAAATATCCTTAATTTAAGCAATTTTTTACTTATTTCTGGATTGTTTTTGCAGTGCATGGTTTTCAGATTAACCGCCACACCATGTCCTGTAAAGCACAAAGCCTGTCATTTATTTCAGCTTAACTACTAAAAAAACAAAATAAAAAGCAAAATAACAACTAACCAACACAATGATGGGCTATTTGTGGTGTTTTCCAGATAAATCTTAATGGTCAAATAAAAAAAAAAAAGCTGATTGAAGGAAAACATTATGCTAATGGTCGTGGTCACCGTACGACATATCTACGTTGTAAAAAGCAACAGCTCCGAAGCTAGCCTTCATAAACAGGTGCTGGAGTGAGCCCTGCAAGGAAAGTTTGCTGCACGCTGCCGAAAAGCTGGCTGAAAGACGGATACTAATTACTTTTCTCACAAAAAAGAAGAACAAAACACAATAGTACATATCTGACTGAGAAAACCACTTTTCAGAGCTTTTATCTATGTTCTAATGCTACACCTGCATCAAAATTATGTCAGATGAGGCTTTAGGCTCATTTCAAGCACATCTGAGTATGCTACGTTCAGACTGCACACAGCAGAAAAAGCAAAACAGTGCGTGCTGCTTCATTTTTTAACCTCTTACACCCTCAGGGGGTATAAATAAATTTCTGCCTGACAAAAACACACAAAAGTAAATCACTTATAGCCTCACAGCTATTAGATTTAAGAAGAAACCTTTGGTACCTATGTAAAGGTAAGATGTCATAGAATGGTTTTCTGGTGTCAGCACCATTGTAGCTTTGACCCTGCCTGAAATATTAGGGACAAAATACAAAATATTTTGCATTTTTTGAACCTCGCCAAAATTGTCTTTGAAATAAACATTGCAAAACACTACCAAAATATTATTTATAGCACAAAAAGTAGTACAGACTTTTAAATCTAAATGTTGTGTAAAAATATACCAAATTTGGACTCAATCAGATGAATCATATTTATTTTAGAATGGTATTAGTGAGAAATTTCTTAGGCGGAGAGGCCATTTTGGCACATTTATCCAAAAATGTCACCAAACTGTGCCAAATGTGTTTTTTACATCAATACTGGGGGTTTGTTAAAATTACGAAGTCACGTAGCAGCTGGACCCACCGGTGGGTCCGTCGGGTTCTAGGGGTTAAACCTTTTACAACACCCAGAGCATCATTGTTGCTCTGGGTGCGAGGTCGAAAAAGTGGGTCTGATGCGGGTTACCTGTAACAGTAGCAGATGATATTGAATGAGTTGCTTGGCTTATTTTAATGAATAATGCTACGTTCAGACCGCAAGCCTTTGAAGCAGCAAAAAAGCTTCCGCTGCATCATTGTTGATGCTCGTAGTACACATTAGGGTAAGACATCCAGTAAAGTGTGAACAGATGCTTCTGATGCTCCTGCGTTCAATGGCAGAGAGCAGCTTTGCTATATTTGCTGTTATAATTGGGTAAAAGTAGATTTAAAGTCCAGCTGAAAATTTAATTTGTGTATTCAGTTCATCCAGGTTACGATTCTGCCTTCAAATATTATTTTGCTGTTGGAGCTGCTCAGACCCCCGTATCCTGGCGGTCTGAGCAGTTGTATGGTGGTGCTCTGTCCCTGGAAATCCCCTTCAGCAGCAGCCTCTGGCCCGGTCGCCTCTTTGTGGTTTTCACTACTGTTTGCGGCAGCTGGTAGGCGTTTTTCACGAATGTAATCCAAACTGCAGTCACCAGAAAAATGAACATATTTTGCTGGCACATTTCAACAATTTAAATTAATTTAGGCATTAATAGATTGTTTCAAAGGAGTGATGATAGCAGTCTGCATCAGCAGTGCTGTGTCTGTCTCCCTGCCAGCTCCCAGATTAGCTTCTCTGATTGGTTGATGTGGCGCGTCGAGCAGCAAGAGTTCAAATTTTCCAACTCCAGCAGCTGCTGGTTTTAAAGCCGGTTGCGTGCACCAGATGCTCAGAAGCTCCTTCGCTCTAAACGCACTGCAGGACCTTTGGTGTTGCTTGATGCGTGTCAACCATTGACTTTGCATGTAAACCAGTTGCTTCTGCAACGTGTGGTCTGAATGTAGCATAATGCTTATGCATTCTGCTCGGTGAGCAGCAGCTGCTCCCTGTCTAGATCAGGGTCCAACCAGCGAGCAGTGCCTGCTTTGTGATGGCTATCACTATTGCTACACTTGCCGTGCTGCCCAAATTACGTTGCGCCATCTACAGGCAGTAAGCCAGATGGTGGCCATTGATGCAGCTGCTAAATAAGTCCTAACCGAGCTGTTATGTGTGAAAACTCACAGCTCAGAGGATGGGGCTTAAAATCATCGCTAACACCAGTAACACTAATAGCAAAGGTAAGTGCACAACAACCTCAGTTAGCTCTTTAGGCTTTAGCTTCAGCTTTCGAAAATTCCAACAGCCAGACTGATTTTTCCCCCTCCCAGAAATAAACATCATCTTTCAGCTTTTCACACATTTGGACTTTTTGTCCCCCAGAAACTATGCTAGTCATTCCACACTCGCTCGCCTCCATTGCTTCGGCCTGGTTCGCTAATTTCAGACAGATCAAAGCATGCGTAGAGATGGAATCTCAGTCACATGATGTTGTTTTGGTAAATAAACACAGCAGGGCTTTATGTACCAACACACTGAGCAAAAAAATGTATAAATATGACATCAGAAGTAATTTTGTCATAAAAACGCTGAAGGCAAGCAGAGGGAGTTTCTAGTGTATACATAATAAAAAAAGTGGGGCTGCAACTAAAGATTATTTTGCAAATCAATGAACCTGTTGATTATTTTTTCAATTAATTGATTAATAATCAGATAGCCAAAGGTTCCTTAAAAAAATATTTTTTTACTAAATTAAACCAGGTGAAGCTAAAAGTTTTCCACTTGAGGAGTTCTGGATGGAGCATATTGACGGATGAAAAAGGATTTTTTTTTGTTTTAAATGCAAAATGTTTACATGTTGTTTTACAATGTTGATATAATTACTGCTCTAAGTGGGTCGCTCCGTAAGCTAAAGACAGGTTTTAAAGTCTCTACACTCCAGTTAACGATCAATCGATTACTAATTAGCTAACGACTATGTTAGTAATGGGTTATTCACGATTAATCCGATTAGTTGTTTTAGCCCTAAAAAAAAAGTGATATAACATTACTGTAATGTTTAACACAGCCATAGTGCCAAAAGGAAACATTTCATCAAATATATGCTGATCATTGACGGCTTAGAAAGCATAATATAGAACTTTTAAGAGAACCATAAATGTTTTATATAACATTTAACCAGCTGTATTAATCAATAAGCAGGATCATTAAGGACTTTTGTTTAGAATAGATGTAAAATGTTCCAGACTTCTCTATGAACATTGAACTCTAGTTCCAAGTTTACTTTTATTCGACCCAAAGTTATGATGCATTTAATGAACTGTGATTTGTGAAACAGGTTTTACAAACGGGGACGTCGACCGGTGAAAATAAGTTCAGAAAACTGAACCATTTTCCCCCATAAATCTCACTGAGCAGACAAGACAAACGGCATTAGTGAAATTTCCCAACATAGCCCGCCATGACCTAACCTGCTGACCTATTGCTTCAGTGATTCAGGTGTGACGTGCCTCTGTGACCTCGCAGACAGGTGTAGTCAGCATGAAACACACATGCTGCTCTGTCTGCAATGGTTCCTGTGCCTGCCTGTTTGTCAACTCTGCGATGACTGTTCGCCCGCTCCATGTAATAACTGGCCTGAGACATAAATCCACCTGATGTCAGAGAAAAGCAAACAGTGAGGCATGTTGGTTTGATTATTAACCAGCAGAATGGAGGAATGTGATGGTGATTGCATTCCAGCCAACAGGAGATGGTTGCTCCAGCTAACGGCCCCTCCGCTACCTTTGGAGAGATAAGCTGCCGTATGAAGGTGCAGGCACATGACGGCACCCGGGAACATACGGCAATTAATGAAATGTCTCCCCTTATCATCCAGAACATGACGAGATGGTGACTAACTGCCTCCTTAAATCTTGTGACATTGAAATCCTTACGCCACCAGACCACAGATATGCTGCTGCTATCTTTGCAGAATTTAAGGGAAAAAACAATCACACAAAAAGCTGAAAGCAGATTAATATCCAGCTGGAATATTCTAAACAGGAAAAGTTGCATTTAAGAGAAAAAGTGAGCCTCGAAGTGAACTAGAATGGAAGCTTATTTCAATCAGAAAGTTCAGAATTTTATTTAACGGGAATGAAGGTTAAAGTAAGCAACCTTAAGTGAAATCCACCTTAAGTGAATACCTATACTCACAAATTAATAAATATATATACAAAATAACACTTTATTTATACAATTCAAACAATAGAATCAATTACGATGTAAAACAAAGTCAGGTAAAAATCCCTATTAATGTCAAAACAAGTGTCAGCTAAAAATCCTTAAATGAGGAGCTTGTTGAATTATAGCTGTCCTTCATCTGACACAGTAAATAAAATGTTGTTTAAACCCCACAGCTGAATAAAATCCTCAATTTTCTGTGTGGCTCTGTGGAAGAGAAACTCTAGCCTTATTCTGGGTTTAATGTTGCATCTCCACAGGGCGGCATCAAGGTGAGTGCCCTCCTACAGTCTGTCACTGCTGGACAGGTAAACGGCCATCTTTCCTTCACCGATTTAAAAATGTTAAAGTTTGGCCATTGGCTTATTTTTCCTATTCTGGCAAACTCCTCCTATAAAAAGAGCTTTTGTAAAAAAACATCCCAAAACGACTAAAAACACAAATTAAAAGGCTAAAAATTGTCTAGTGCATTCCATTATCAGACAGAGCGCAGAAAGGACACTGGATCCAAATGGTGATCCGGATCATCACCAAAATCGAGTGGGTTGTTACTTGGATTCAGGTGCACCTCTGGTAAAAATGCCATTAAAAACCGTTCACAGACAGGCATACCCACACAAAAGTTCCTAAAAACATAACTTCCCTGGTGGAGCTAATAAACAGAATGAACGCTGATGAACTAATACATTATTAAAAGATTTTATTTGTTAATAACCCTATATTAACAACAACAACCAGAAATTACTTCCTGAACCTAAAGAGGCATCTTCTAAATTTATATTTCTTGCAAAGTTAAAACAGCACAGCGTTATAAAAACAGGTCAGTTCTAATTGTTTTAAACTTTTTAAAACATCAAGTTCACAACTGAATCACTAAAAAATGGCTGATGTTCTTTCAATACAGAGAAAACTAGCCTGTAGTTTGATCATCTGTATGAGTTTCTCACTTTCAGGTTCAGCAAACAGGAAATATTATCAGTTGTCATGTTTTAAACATGACCAAAGTTTCCTCTTTTATTTACAAGAACCCAAAGGACAAAGCAGGGGAAATCTCACAGGTTCACAGTGGTGATGTCAGGAGAACAGAAACCGTTTAAGAAATTATCTGTTAGACATTGAGAAACAAAGAAACCCTCTAAAACTCTTATGATTTTAAGAAGTTTTTAAACATACATAGTTAGAGCTATGTGATAAACAAATCTTTCTTTGTTAAATAAAACAAATTAAAAAACGGGATTTTCTACACCATAAAACAGAAATCAGATTTGAAAGAAATACTGTCACTGTAATTTCAGCAGCAAAGTAAAATGGACTTACTCAGCAATTGAAGTAGAACCGACAAAAATCAAAGAAGTAAAATTATCCTCCTGAGAATCTCTGAGTTGAATAAAGAAAAAATGTGAGCGGAGCGGAGTTTGGACAGGAATGAATAACTCGCCCGCTGAGACAGCGCCGCTCCTCTGGAGAGGAGTGGCTGCATAGGAGAGAGGGCTGGGCGCTTTACACAAGGTGTCAGATAACACAACTCTCCTGGCAAAGCTTGAAACCGTGTCAACAGCAATGACCCACACGGCGAGGAATTAGACCTACCATCACCCTCTAATCAGCACACGGACAAATGAGCAACCGCTTGCACCAAACTGGGCTACCTTTCAGAATCACTGCGGCTCTAAAGAATGAAGAACTGATGAGCTAATTATCACAATGACAAAACAATAAAGCACTTCATCTTTCTAAACATATGATCAGTGTTTATTATTTCCTCTATTCTCGTCATCTTAAGTGGAACAAGACATCTCATTGTAGAAGAAATGCTCAATCCTTCCTGTAGAAACATGTCAACACTCTCAGGCTGAAGTTTGCTTTAGGATGATGAAAGAAGCCAAACTTTTTTTTAATTCTTTCACAACTTTTTAGTTTCCTAATAAAAAACAAACAAACAGTAACTTGTGACTGACTAGTAATGCTGAAGTTTTTAACAATTATTTGTATATAAATTATTATTTGTAACAAATCATTAATATGAAAAACAAATTCAGACATTTTGAATTAAAAAAGATTCCTGGATGGGAAGCAAAACTAGGGATGGGCGATTTAGAAAAAAAGCTTATTGATAAAAAAAAATGCATATTGATCGATATCGATAATTATTGAAAAGATTTGAAACCATATTTTATGTGCATCTCTGCCTGGAAATTTTATGATATTGCTAAATGATTTAATTTTAATAAAGAACACAAACACAGACTTGAAATTAAATCTTTATTTAACCAACTTTTTTAACCATAGCAGAATTGTTTTAAAGAAAAATAACTTAAGAGACCTGAGTTATGTTATTAAATACTGACAAAGAATAAACTAAAGTGACCAGAAAAGTGATCAAAACAAATATAACAAATAAATAAATGGACCCCCCCCCCCTTTTTTTTACGTTTTTGGAATGACTATGACCTGGATGACTGAGAATCTTCACCAGCATGAAAAACTAAGTTATATTTAATCTTTTTTTAAAGTTTTATTTGTTTATGGTAAGATAACCCCCACAGGGAAAAAAAACTTTTTTATTAATTACCATTCTAACTAGTTTTATACTACAGTGAAGCAGAAATTAAACTAATCTCTGACTAGCACCATCTTCTGGTTGTTCAGTACAGGATTTCTACAAGTTTCATTAAGATAAAAACAAGAATTAAAATCTATTAAGACTTTATAAGACCATAATGATTTAAATGTAAAACCTGAGAAACTGACTAAAGCGTGAACCACCAGCATAGAGTTCACTGCATAAAAAAAAAAAAAAAAAAAAAAAAAAAAAAAAAAAAAGATTACATTTTTTAGCCATGTCATTTTGCTGGTATGCTTCTGCACCGTCGGTCTGGAATTTCTAGGGATGCACAGCAGTTTTACGCCAAAGCACAATGGCAATAGGCACAATAGGCTATTTGAGAACTAGCAAGAACTACAGCTGATAGTCACTAGAACTTTAGCGGCGCCGGCGGGAGTGTTTATCTTCCAAAACAACAATGAAAGATATCACGGTCACAGAGATGGATCTAGAGTTGCTAGATATCGAAGAGGAACAGGTTCTGTTAATGGAGTTGGCAAAAAGACAGATTAACCTTTCGTAGTAGCTGTCCATTGTAGTTGTTTCTCAGTTTTTAGAAATGGCGCGCCCCGGCCCTGAATCCAGAACGACGACCACACAGAAAGCCGGAAAGGCATACCAAGGACCACTCACAGCTGCTTTTTGTCTGCGCAATTCTGTTGTGTTCTGTGCGGGTTTGCGACCATCTCACACATAGTCAGGATATTTTTGAGGTGTGCGACGATGGTTGCAGAACCTCTGTGCGGGGGCGTGGTCTCACACAGAGACAGATTTGACGTTTGCAGAGGCTATGCGTCAGAAGCATAAATTAAACTTGAACCATGCCCCTTCAATCCCCCGCAGTTAGCCTAGCTAGCCTTGGTAAGCTGTAGCCCACCCTGGTGCTGATTTCTCAGAGGGCTTCTCTCCGTTCCGCTCTTGAGCTGCCTTATCTCCTTGCTCTTGTGCACCGCCTATCTGGCGGGCTCCTCCGACCAACAACTGAGGATCCTTAGTTCCAGAGGACACCAAGATTGGCCCAGATATAGAGCTCTCTCCAGGTGTTCTCACACAATTCCTGCTGCTACTGTCTAAGCTCAGAATGGCTTCTACGCTTCCCTCTGTTGTCGGATAATTTGTCCCCCTATTTTGGGCAATACGACTTAAAACAAACATGGAGCAAGAGCAGGAGAAAGATACATGTCTGCTCAAAAAAAAAAAAAAAAAAAAAAAACATCAACAATGCAATGGCGCCTCAAAACGGTTGTCTTTATGATGACTGGCCAGTCGCTGGTCGTGAGCGATCAATAATCGTCCATTTTCCAAGCACTGCTGATTAACCAATGCAAGTATAGTTTATTACCAAATCTAAACATTAAAGAGGCATGACACAGTTTTCTAATAATACTGCCACCAATGGCCAAAACACAGAACTGCAGCATACTTCTGCTCGTTCTCGTAGCTTGCGCTCGTACTTGACAAGTTTGACTTTTTTCATCTTATTCTGGGTTGCCATTGGTGTCTGACTTCAGTTGGATTCCGGTCGCTTCTAGGTATCCACAAAATCCATCTTGAGTATTGCGCTTCGATTGTTTGCTAGGTCCGATTTAACATAAATGCTCTTGACATCACATCTGCAAGAAACGTTGCAGGAGCTTCCAATCTGCATTCAAGAACATTCAGCAAAATAGACTACAGGGTTATAGATGCATCAGCACTTAACTACTGAGATGTAATGTCTGCTCATCAAATGATATAGTAGCGTAAAATAAAGGGTCAAATTATAAGGTCTATTGTAAAGATACTTTACAGTAAAACCCTTTTCTACAGTAGAAGAGAGAAAAGTCAAGAGCAGTAAATGCTAATAAAACCACCACCTTATTTATAGTGTTTATCTTACTGTGTTACAGACTTCAACACTGCGGGCAATAAATACATTTGTAAAACTCTTAAACTGGGTCATTTATTCAGTTAATTTCTCCAATCTCTCATTTTTTATTGAGAGGAGGAAAGCAGGGACGAAGATGTTATGGAAGAGGACGCCACGGCGGCAGAAGCTTGGTTTGGTGTAGAAGGCTTACAGCCGTACATGTTTGAGCCTTGCCTCGTCCTGGCCTGCATAAGATAATGAAAAAAACCCACAGATTTTAAAACAGGATTTTTCTTTTTTATAAATAGAAAAAAATACATTTATATACATGTTTAAGCCAGAATGATTTGACATTTAAATATGATTTCCCTACGATTTTAAAATACTTTCAGAAGTTTGTGCTCTGAATGTGTGTTTTCCCGTATGGTACCTGGGTTTTTGTGTTTCCACAAATATTGTAACAGCCTAAATATCAAATTCTTCCAACAAGTTATTTTTTTGTTTGTGCAGTCTCTATTTTTATTTCATGGAAAATAGAATAAACATTTCCTAAGACCCAGCAGAGCCCCGTTGCCAGCAATAAAAATCAATAATTAACCCTTGATTTGCATGTTGTTGCTGAAATATTCCCACTTGGCGACCTAATTTCAGAAAGCGAGCACACAGGACGTTTTGTGGCCTGTCATGTAAAAACATATGGAGAAGCAAATGGCAGAGGGAAG